TATATATATATATATATATATATATATTGAATTTTATATAAAAAAATTCAAAACATTAAATTAAATATTATATAATGACTACCGGTTTTTCATTGCTTTTATTCTGTTTTTTACTCAGTTTCTCATAGAAGGTTTTATAAAAAATGTATTTATATGGTAGGTTTTAAGTATTATACATTGTGATAACACTATTGTTATGGTATCCATTAAAAGATTTCATTTTTTTATAGCTGTTATAGGCAGCCTCATCTTTAAAACTTCATCTTTAAGGTTTAAAGATGAAAACAATTGTTTCATACTATTTTGATTTTATAACTGCTCCATACCTTTTTTATTTTATTTTATCATAGAACTCAGCGGAGAAGCATTTAACCAGGACGTTCGCGTCTCTTTCATAACCATTGTCCTTATCGAGCCAGAGCCGGTCTTATGTATTACAAGATATTTTTTTCAGAAAGGGTAGTGTTTTCTATTCGGAAATATATGGCTGGTAATAGTGCAATTAAGATTAAACTAACTACTTATATATTGAATTTGTATAGAAAATACAAGTTCAATACATAATATGTATATTCAATGTATTGAAAAGTCTATTTTATCAATATTGAAATTAAGAAACCACACTTTAAAAAGACACAGAAAATTAGAATAAAAGTGATAGTCAAATCGTACGGGGTTTGACTTTCTCTCGTTCTCTTTCTGTCCGAAAATTTTTATTTCAATTTTTTATTAACAAAAGCTTCGAATTTCATGAGTTTAAAAAACCATTACTCTGTTATGTAACAGAGTAAAGTTAAATTACTTGAAAATTTTTGTTTTTAATGCTTTGACGTTTATGCTTTGGAAAAGAAGAAGTAGGGGGAGAGGTTGATTTTTTAATAATGCGTTTGTTTGCTATGGAGGAGGTGCGTGTGTTTGGGGGAGGGGATCATTAAAATGCAAAGGTGCGTACAAGAGTTGAGGGGTCCTAAATCAGTGGTTTTACTGCACGTGTATTTTATAGATGTCCTTAAACATAAATTGGAAACTTTCCATCAGGTATTCACATGTTTTATAAAAATTTTATAATTAAGATAACTTGTTTTAATTGAATAGAGATTTCTTTAGCATATCAAACAAATGGTTTCTGGGGTATTTAGAAACGATGTAAAGAAGTTGATATTTACGTGGTGGAAGATCCCCTTTTTTTTGACATTTTCACAAAAAATATCTTTTTATAAGAACTTGAGTTTTACTTTACGATGTCTCTGACCATTTTCTTATTTTTTTCTGTATAAGCGCAAACAGCAAACCAAGTATGCATTGAAAGGTAACAATTAAAAAACGTGTTTACAACAACACTAACCTAAATTTATTTAAAGAGCAACTTTTGAATCAAGACTGGAGCTATATAAATTTCAATGACGATATAAACCTCATCTATGACTCTTTTTTAAAAACTTTTTATAAAACCTACAACGCAAACTTTCCATTGCGTGAAACAACTCTTAACGCCAAAGACCTACCTTGTCCTTGGATAACTAAAGGAATTAAAAAGTCCTCAAAAATAAAGCAAAAACTCTATGTTAAGTATCTAAAAACTAAATCAGAAAAGCATAAAATCACTTACACAGTCTATAAAAATTTAAGCCAAAAATATCTACTTCTCGGACTTACTTATGAAGCACAAATATAATTCAAAGCGAGTTTGGCAAATAATGAAGGATATTACTGGTAAACATAAGACATGTACAAAACCTATGCCGGCTGCAATAAAAATTAAAAATAAAATAGTTAACAATTCGAAGGAAATTGCCATCGAATTTAAAAAGTTTTTTTCAAAAATAGGACAAAGTCTATCAAATAAAATTCCTTATGTAGACAATAACTCCGTTGATGAATTTATTTTATTAACAAATTCAACTCTGAACTTTTCAAATCTAACATTTAGTGAATTTACAATAGCATATAAAGCAATAAAAAGAAATAAAGCAACTGGGCCTGATGATATAAATGGGAATATTATAACCTACTCTTTTGATGCGATTAAAGATATCCTCTTTAAAATTTTAAAGCATCTATTACTCAAGGATCTTTTCCAGATAGCTTAAAAATACCAAAAATAACTCCAATCTTTAAAACAGGCGACCCTACAAACGTAACAAATTATAGTCCTATCTAAGTTCTACCAGTCTTTTCAAAAATATTAAAAAAAAATAATGTACAACAAATTGTACACTTATTTTATTGACAATAAACTTCTTTATAAAAATCAGTTTGGTTTTCTGAGAAAAAGTTTTAATGAACACGCTATTCTCTAAGTAACGTGCAGTATTGCCGACTCTTTAAGGAATTCTCAATTTACTCTTGGCATATTTATTGATTTGTCAAAAGCTTTTGGCATTGTTGATCACCATATTTTATTGAAAAAGCTAGAAAGCTATGGTATAAGAGATGTAACCCTAAACTGGTTTAAAAGTTATCTAAGTATCCATACTTGGGCCATTCTTATTTTTAATATACATAAATGATCTTTACAAAGCTTCTAATTTAGCGTCTATAACTTTTGCTGACGATACGAGTTTATTTCAGTCAAACGATGACATTAAAATACTTTTTAACAATATGACTGAGGAACTTAAAAATATTTCATATTGGTTCAAAAAAAATAGATTGTCTTTAAATACCGATAAAACAAAATGGATACTTTTTCATCCAACTTCTAAAAAAAAAAAAATTCAAAATATCTTTTTATCTTGGAGGCAACAAATTGATAATATTTCAATGAAAATTGCCAAAAGCATTGGAGTTCTATATAAAATTAGACATATATTAAATAAACATCAATTAACACAACTATATTATTCATTTATTCATTGCCATTTAAATTATGCAAATATAATATGAAGAAGCGCTCACAAAACCAAACTTAAATCTCTCTATCGACATCAGAAACACACAGCTCGCACAATTAATTATGCGAATCGTTTTTCAAGCTCAACACCACTTCTTAAAGAAATAAAAGTTTTGAATATTTACGAACTAAATGTTTTGAATATTTTATGTTTTATGTTTAAATGTAAAGAAAATAAATCACTTAATGTATTTATAAATCTTTATAATTTGAAACCTAAAAACAAATATAGTCTTCGTGCCAGTAAAAGTATCGAAGAGCCATTTTGTCAAACTAAATTTGACCAGTTTTGTATTTCTTATCGTTGTCCTTCTCTTTGGAATAAAATAATTTTTACCTAATTTCGATTTTTCTTTTAAATGGCAAAATGGTCTTATTCTTCTTTTAAACGGAAAGTAAAAAAAATTACATTTTCAACACAAAATATTTATATCTATTTTTAGTATTTAAGTTGTTTTTTATTTATTTTGATTTATACTTTATTTTGTTTATTATATAGACTGTGAGTTATCTTCGTACCACTGTTGGATCCTTTTTTGTCTTTTACACCAATTAATAATGTCATATTAATTTTTTTTTATTATTATTAAATTATTTTATAGTTTTTTCAATACAAAAAATTTTTTAAATAATAGAAAAGTTTCTATGGTAATTTTTAAAAATAACAGCTTGAATGGGGATCTACCACCTTAATGTATTGCAATGGGGATCTAACACCTTAATGTATTGCAATGGGGATCTACCACCTTAACGTATTACAATGGGGATCTACCACCTTAATGTCAAGAAAGTCAAGAAATCCTCCTTTTCTTACCGGAGATCTTGAGGAAACAATAATTGAGTAAATATTCCTATATTACATATATTATTATTAATAATGAATTAAACTTGAATATATATATATATATATATATATATATAATATATATATATATATATATATATATATATATATATATATATATATATATATATATATATATATATATATATATATATATATATATATATAGTTTAGTTAACTGGTTTAATTTGCCGTTAAAAATATTCATAAAGTACAACAATATAAAAAGTACTATTGGCTGGAGCAAGAAGAAGGCATAAAATAGCCTTATCACCGAGCCCCAATAGTGACGCAAATAAATATCCGTAATATATAATAATCCGTAATATATAAGCAAAAGCATTTAAAAAAATACAATATTAAAATGTTAAGAAATAAAATGAAAAAGAAAAAAAAAAAAGTATTAAAATAATTGAAAAAAAAAAAAGAAAAAGAAATGATTAAAATATAGTAATAAAAATGACAAAAATTTTCTGTTTTTGGTTATAAACTGGATGTGATTTGATATATATACTTGTATTTTTCTTTTTTTTTCTATTTTTTTTTCTATTTTTTTTTCTTTTTTTTTTTCTATTTTTTTTTTCTATTTTTTTTTCTATTTTTTCTATTTTTCTATTTTTCTTATTATTTTCTTTCAAAATAATTCAAAATTCAAATAAAAATTCTGTTCCAATATTATAAAATATATCAAGAAAATTGGAGGTAACTTTAATAGAATATATATTTTCAATGAAAGTATGATAAAGACATTGAAATTCTTCATATTGTTAAAAGGTCTAGATTTTTAAATTTATGGTGCTAATTTTTTTTTAGTTAGTTAGTAGTTAAACTGTAACTGGACGAATCCAGCGAGTGTGGTTTATCACACTTTGACAGCATTAATTCAAATATATATTAAAAATGTTTAGTTAAAACTTCTTTGATTTGGCGTTATACTCATCTAATCTATTCTTAAATTGATTGACAGTTTTTGAAGTAACAACAGTTTCCGGTAAAGCGTTCCATAAATTGGCCGTACGATTTAATAAAAAATGATGCCGAGGCAAATAGTTTACAATTTCTTTTTCATATTTAATATTGTGACCTCGAGTAATTGAATCAATTTTAAGCTTCGGTTCATTAATTAAATCAATTTCCTCAAAACTGTTAAGTAATTTAAACACTTGTATTAAATCCCCACGTTTCCTCCTTGTTTTTAATGTAGATATATATAATATTTCCAATCTCTTTTCATAATTAATTTTCCTTAATGATAGAACTAATCTAGTCATCCTGTGTTGAACTTTTTCCAAAAGTGATGTCTCCTTTAAAATAAGGTGACCAAACAGGTACTGCAAACTCAATAAGAGGTCTAATAAATACCTTATACAATGTTTTAACCAATTTTGCATCAATTCGTGAAAATGTCATCTTTAATATACCCATCATTGAATTTGCTTTAGAAGTACTTGATATAATTTGTTTTTTCCATTTCAAGTTTGTTGAAAAATATACACCTAAATCTCTCTCGCATTCAGAATCTTTCAGTTCAACACCATTTAAAGTATATTTCAATCGCGGATTATTTGTACCATAATGCATTATAACACATTTACTAGAATTAAAACCCAAGAGCCACTTTTTAGACCATTCCTCTGCATTATCCAGATCTTTTTGCAAGCTATTTTCCACATTTATTTCATTTACTTTTGAAAGAATTTTTGTATCATCTGCATACAATACTGACTTATTTTTAAATATATTTGATATATCATTAATAAAAATAACAAATAATAAGGGCCCTATTACAGATCCTTGCGGAACACCACTGAAGACTTTGCGCCATGAAGAAACAGCATCACCTTGGATAATTCTTTGGATTCTGTTTTTTAAAAAAGCTTCAATCCATTTTAATAATAAACCACTAATTCCATATGAAGATAGTTTAATCAATAGTCTTTTGTGAGCAACAGAATCAAAAGCTTTGACAAAATCTAATAGTGCTTCATCTACCGAAATACCAATCGATAAATTAAATGAAATATAATCCAACGCCTCTAATAAGTTTGTTGTACAAGACTTCCCTTTAACAAAACCATGTTGTGACTTCGATATAAATTTATATTTCATTAAATATGATTGTATGCAGTCTCTGACTATACCTTCCATAATTTTACAAGAAATTGACGTCAATGACACTGGTCTATAATCTGCAGCTTCTAATTTATCTCCCTTTTTGAATAGTGGTGTAATATTTGCTGCTCTCCATTGAGTTGGTAGTTCACTTTTAACAAAAGATTCTATAAAAATTAAAGTTAATAGCAATGCTACAGAATCCGCACAATTTTTCAAAATCAACGGATGTATAGAATCAACTCCATATGTTTTATTGATATCAACATGTTTCAATCTACTTAAAACATCAAAATATATATATATTAACTGAATATATATATAACTGAATATAAAATATATATATTACATCAAAATAGCTATATTAACTGCATCAATAATAATATCCCCTAAATTTTCGATTTGTGGAAGCTCTTCTGTAGAATTTTCGATGGTAAACACATCTTGAAATTGTTTATTTAAAATTTCAACAATTTCATTTTGATCATTTGTTACGCAACCAGTTTGATCTCTTAATGCTTTAATTACTTGTTTAATCGTTTTTTGACTATTCACATATTTATATAGCAGTTTCGGATTTATCTTTGATTTTTTAACAAGATCATTTTCATAGTAACATCTTGCTTTACGCGATTTTATTTTCACAGTTTTGCAAATATTTTTATATTTCATTACTTTATTCAAATCTTTCCAGTTCGATGATAAATTTTAATAACGCAAAATTTGTTTTGAACGTACTAAAAAACTTACTTCATCAGTAAACCATGGATTATTTTTTCTTTTCTTTCTTGAATTTGCGTCAATTTATTGGAATAAAAGCATTACATGATTGACTAATTTTTTCAATAAACAGATCATTCATAAATTGAACTGATAACCCATCAAATAAATAATTCCAGTCAATTTAATCAATACTTCGGCTTATTTGTGGATAGTCACATCTACTTTAGTAATTTAGTTTAATAAATTTTGAAATTTTAAAAGTGACAGAGAAGATCTGCTATATTAAAATCCGTAAGTACTAAATAACGTCTTAATTTAGATTTGAATTGCGGAAATGTTTTTTCTTTAATATTAACAATATGCTGAAAGTTTTTCCCGTTGGACCCCGGTACTGAATAGAAAAGGAACATAACTTTAGATTATACTTTTGAGTATGATATATATATATAATATATATATATATATATATATATATATATATATATATATATATATATATATATATATATATATATATATATATATATATATATATATATATATATATATATATATATATACGATTAACTGTTTGTTTTTTGTTTTTTTTAAATCTTTACAAATTCGTTTTAGAATCGTTTCCAGTGTATAGTAAAATTTAAAAAAAATCACAAAGTTACGTTATACAAAAAATATATAAAATAAAACTGTAAAGTATTAGAAATTACTTTAAAGAAGGCGGGAAACTTGCAGAAAACCTTGACCGATGGTCTTGTCATCAAGCAACCGCTATGCGTTACTAATATTTTTGGTTACTTTAATTTAAAATAAGTTTATATTTAAAAAATAATGGTTTTCAGTTTCGACAGAATAAAAATAAAATGGCAAAAGGTAAAAAAACAAAGAATGCAGACAAAAAGAAGTTTTTAATTTTATTTTAATACACATAAATATAAGTAGGTACACGATTTGCTAAATAGGTAGTATATAGTCGTTCACGTGTTGATAATTAAGCCGATCATTTATTATTTGTTGTTTTTGAATTATTTAGAGTTTATTGTCCTTCGGTATTGTTAACCGTCCTATAGGACTTTTAATTAAAGCCCTATTGAATAAATGTTTATTAAAAGCCGTTTATAAAAAATTTATTTAAAAACCATAAAAGATTTTAAAGCTTTAAAAGAATTCTTGTACAAAACTCCACTGTTTTTCAATTAATTTTTTATTTCACAGGAATATATTAAATAAACTGACAATACCTATAAAGATTCAGGGCTGTACACGATTTTAATAAGACTGAGCCTAAAAGTTCTTTGTACATATGGTGTCCTATACGACGTGTCCTATACGTCTCCTATATGACTACGAAAGTATGAAAATAAATTCCTTTAAGATTTTAAAATAGGACTTTTTAAAATTCTTGTAGGTTCTAACCTGTAGGGTCTAACCTATAGGGTGTTTGTATTTCCGGTGTTTATAAATCTAAAGAAATTTTTTAAAAGGATATATTTGTATAGGATAAATTTTTTAAAAGGATATATTTGTATAGGATAATCCTTTTAAATTAATCTAAAGATTAATTTAAAAGGATTATCCTATACAAATTTCATATATAAAATGTTCTTTTATAAATATAAGAAACTTTTATAGGATATCTTATAGAACTTTTGGACTAGGGTCTTCACAAATCATTTAAGATTTTCAACTTCAATTTAAAAAATCTTTTGTCAAAGCCTCATCAAGGTTTTTTATTGTTGCAATCGCTATCTTACGAGTTCAGAAATGGGTAAAGAAAAACATTCAAAACATCGAAGATGATAGTTTGTTTCATAAAATAAAAATAAAAAATTACAAAAGTTTCTAATAAAAATAAATATAATTGAATAAATTAAACTTTCTATTAATTTATTCTAAAATTTGATCGACTTTAATAAAATACATATAAAATTTATTTTTAAAAAAGAGAAAAGCTAAATATATATATATATATATATATATATATATATATATATATATATATATATATATATATATATATACATATAATAACAATATTGATAGCTATGGTAATAAATAAAATACAAATGTACATAATATATAACATTAGGACTTCTTTTCGAAGAATTTTTATAACAAAAAAATTATTAAAAGTCTAATAATAAGTTCTTTTTATCCACGTCACTTAACAACTTATTACTTTTTTTTTCAAGTAATATATCTGCAAATGAACTTTCTAGGTTCTCCCACTCCAATTGTCTGATACTATCATTGTCATCTAAGTATCCGCTTGAGTCGGATTCATCACTAGACAAACTATTGGAATGGTTGCGTCTTCGCAAAATATCGTCAGAAGGATTGTTTGTTATACAAACACGGTCTGCTGGATTAATAAACAGGTGGAGGTCACTTTCATAAAAAAAGCTGGAATTTAATGCACTTTTGGATATATCAAATTCATTTTTTTCCGTATGTCTACGTAAAAAAAGTATAAAACAAATTTAAAAGAAAACAATTAAAGATCCTACAAAAATTATATATATATATATATATATATATATATATATATATATATATATATATATATATATATATATATATATATATATATATATATATATATATATATATATATATATATATATATATATATATATATATATATATATATATATATAACAATTTGTTTACAAACCTCATTCTTCTACAAACTTACCTTCTATTCTTCCAAATCAAAATACAAATTGTCGCAACTAACGCGCCTGCCAATAAAGCAAGTAAAAAACAAAAAAACATATTTGTATAATATGTTAATTTGTCTTTAAAGCAATCGTTTGAAATATGATCTTGATTTGTTATCACAACCATCTTCTTTGCAATAAGAATATTTAAATTAAACTTGTTGGATTTCACTTTATTAGATGATACGTAAATCTAAAGCAAAATATTTTTGATTAGAGATGAGAAATAAAAAAGAGAGCTTGATAGGATCAAAGACACCTACAAAGACACCTACAAAGACACCTACAAAGACACCTACAAAGACACCTACAAAGACACCTACAAAGACACCTACAAAGACACCTACAAAGACACCTACAAAGACTATTTTTTGTGTGTATATTATATACAACTATTTATTGCATGCAACTAATTTATATCATTTTAAAATAAATATTTGACGCTATTACATTTTACATTATAATAATTGACGTTTGATACTATTGTATTTGACGCTACTGCATTTTTAAATAATTCAAGCAAAGCGAAGCAAATATTTATTATAACCTACAAGTAAACAACCAACAAGTAAATTTATTTAAGCAAAGCTGACATTTATTGTAACCTACAAGTGAATTGATTCAAGAAAAGCTGATATTTATAAGTATCGTAATGTTATTGATATTCCTTTATTTTTTAAATTGATGAATAACATAACACTTTCTAAGTCCTTTACTTTATGTCTTCTCTGATTATTTTACTGACCTATCATAGTGCATTATTTTACTGACCTTTCATAGTTGCCTCACTTTATTGAGCATGCTATTTTCTTACTCCTGATATATGAATCTCGAAATTTTTTTTTTTCTTTCGTGAGTGTAATACTGTTGCTATATTTGAGATGGTTTTTTAATGTCTTTTCTTTTTAGGCAATATCCAAAAAAGCTTGAGATGTCTTATGTCCTATCGACATAAGACATCTCAAGGTTGCATCTATTTATTTTTTACAAATACTACCATAGCTTCTGTTCAACAAAGCTACCATCAATTGTCATAACAAACATCATCACGTATCTATCAATTAAAATCTTGTGTGACCGACCATTTAGTAAAGTAACATTCTTTTGTTTCTTTATGCTCAAAAAATTTTATCTTGGTTTTTCCTTAAAATTTTTAATTTTCAAATATTTGTTTCTTCTCGCATTAATTTAAAAAAACTCTTTTGTTTCTCTTTTCTTTTTTCTCTGTTAAATAAAAACTTTTTGTTGATTTCAGCCTTGTGAGGGGGTAAATTTTTTGGGGGTAACTCAAAATTTAATAAAGCAATACATGAATAGCCAAATAACTGATAATTTGATTAAAGTATTACATAACAAATTTTTTTTTTGAAAAATAACTTGATAATCTGATAGTAAAATCTGGTAGATAAATTTAAAAATAATTAAGATATTTTTGTTTAGGAAAATGATGTCCATTTAACTATAATTGCATTTAGAAGCAAAAAATATCGAATGTGTGGAAGATATCTTTATATAATATTTATAATAATATTTTTAAATTAAGCTTTAAATCTAAAAAATTGTGTACATATAAAATACCTTTTACATATACATATGCAACTTTCACTGAACTTAGTGAACAACTAAACCAATAGAAATCAAATATCAATTAGTCCTCGAAAAAGAAAATAAATTGTTGCCATTAAATTATTAACTAATTTCACTCATTTGTATAATCTGTAAAATTCAAAAAGGGTTGGTATGAGATTGTAAAACAATTCTTATCGAAATTCTCATCATTTGATCTGAAGATATAGTTGTAGATATAATTTACTTGGAATATGTGAAAGCCTTTCAAATAGCAGTATTTCTTTTTGGATTTTAAGTTATTTTTTAACCTTATAGGCGGTGTTCATAATGCTGCCAATCTTTTTTCCATCATTTTATTTAATTTTAATTGTTTTGATATAATTCTACTCAAGTCTGCTGGTGTTATTACATATGCCGAGTTTAAACACTTTATCAGGTTTATCATAATTTATTTTATATTGGGTACTTGTATTTAATAGAAAAACCTCTTGGATTTTTTATGGAGTAACCTAGCCACGAAGATATACTAAGCTCCTTAACAGTGTTCTCCACTCTTAAATTCGGTGACTCAAAGCATCATGCAACTGTTTTCAGATTGTTGTTCTTTTATTTTTGTCAACTTTTATGCATTGTCAGAAGATATTAAAGTTGTCTATAAAGATATCATTCTACATTCTTTCTCGTTCATCTTAATTGAATCATCAATGTTAGAATCCAATTCTAAATCTAGAAGTGCTTTTTTAACAAAATAATTTTTTTAATTTTAACTTCACTATTCAGTCTAGCATAAGCAACAAGCTGCTCCATAGGGTTTTGCAATCCATGATTGAATGGATGATCCTTCTTAAGTCAATTTTTACATACTTTTGTAAATAATTTTCTTTTTTGTTTGGGGCCTTTCGAACATTTTTACAATTTTCCTAATGTTTTTCTTATAACCAAAAATTTGGTACCTAAAACTAAGTTTACATAATAAACCTTTTGAATAACTTCATTAAATAAATGGAAATTTTAACTTTTGTAATTTAATAAACTTTCTGTATTTTGATGACTTCATTAAAGCAATGTTAATTTTTTTTTTGCAAAACACGCAGACATTTGTAATTACACGCAGACATTTGTAATTACACGCACATATTTGTAATTACATGCACACATTTGTTATTACAGGCACACATTTGTAACTACACATTTTTTATTACACATTTTTAATTACACATTTGTAATTACACGCACACATTTGTAATTAAATTAAATGGACATAAAAATGAAATTAAAATTGTGCAAACATTGGAATAAGAATGAATTCAAAATGCAAAGGTATTAGCGGTGAGTGCTAAATTTCTATTTATTTTTAATAATATATTAGTTTTAATATTATACTATAAATACATTTTTTATATGTTTAATCATACAAAAATATGTTCAATTAAACATATAAAAAATGTATATATAGAATAGTATTGCAGATAAGCATTAGTTCGCAAATTAAATGAAAGCAGATATTGTTGAAGTGAGAAAAAGTAATAATGAAACAGAGTTGCCAACATTCAATCATCAGCGAAACATGCCGCTCCTTCACTTGACAAACGGCAATATTTTTTTCAAATGCCAGCTTTAGGTGTATAATTTTTGTATGTTTGCAGTTAGTTCTGAAAAGTCATATTTTTTTATGTATGACGGAACAATTGTTCAAAAATAGCAAAATGGTGTTGTGAACTTTCTGCATTTTTTTTTTGAAAATTTTCTTGCTGCATAAGTCAAAAAGTTCTACTTATTGTAGTTCACAGAATAAATTATGCTTTAAAAACTTTGGCAGATAAAATTCGCCAATGGTCACAGACGAGCAGTGAACGCCCGAAGGAAGAAATTAAGTACACTAGAATAAAGGAGAATTATTTATCTAACGAAGCATATTTTGACAGTTGTCAAGACAAAAATAAAGATTAATAGAGGAAAATTTCAAAACAAATAAGACAGACAACGCACCCAAGCAGTACTCACAATAATAATAACAAAAAAATTGTTTCATAAAAACTAATACGAACGAAGATATACAACATATATATAACCAAACAAAAACTTATAAAACCAAAAAATTGATAAACAAAAACAAAAAATATACATACAACAATGTAAGGCCTCAGAATGGAAAAAAAACATTAATGCTAATGTGTAAACATAATTAATGTAGTGATAAAGTAATAAACATCTCCTCAAAGTCACGTCTATTACAGGCGTTTCGATGAGGATCAGCACTTATATCTAGTTTATCCCGTCAGACAAACGACATCGCCATTTGTGTTTTACCCCGCAACTTTTGCCTTATCCATACTGCAGTAAAAAAAGAACCACTACAAATAGCGAAAACCCAACCATACCCAAATTTGTAAAACACTAATATTTTTTAATGATATGACGTGAAAAGTGTAGATCTACTGTACAATATAAATAAAAATAACTAAATAAATCACTTACCATACCACCGAAAGAAAACATGAAAGCACAATAAATTAAAATTCTAATAGAAACATAAAAATATCAATAAATTCATTTTAAGATATAAAACCAAATAGGTATTATTAGCATAAACAAGCCAAAGATAATCAGAAAACAAAATACCTCATTAAAAAAATTTTTTTAGTCAACAAACCAACAATAGCCTTAAATAAACTCTAACACTGTCATAGATACCTCATTCAAAATATGACAAACAATCAAAAGTGTAGGAAAATGAGAAACCCGCAAAACCCAACATCATAACAATAATTGAACAATATATGATTGCAAAAAAAATCATTGCATAAAACCTTAAAAATGTCACCGGCATTTTTAAGGTTTTATGCAATGAGTTTTTTCTATATCCTTCATTGAATGTAAACATTCAATGAAGGATATAGAAAAAATCTCTGAATAATAATAAAAGATGAAAATTGTGCATATGAAAATTAAAATAAAGTTGAGTAATAAATGCAAGATAATAAAACATAAAAATTCATAGTAAACAGTTATAATATGAAAATCAGCAGATAAATAATATATTAATGAATATTGCAATAAGACAAACTAAATACTATAACAAAACCAGATAAATTTAAAATAAATGGGTGGTTAAATGGTCAGGTCAGGTTTATCCTGCTACTGGTAACATGTAACCCAGTACAATCTGCTTCATGTCCTGCTGCCTTGTAGGATATGCCTTTTTAGGCAAAGGCTAGGAGATGCAAACTCTGACATAAAACATCCCCTGCCTTGGGGCTCTTAGTTGAGTAAAGGCTAGAGATGGTGTCTTGATAAAAATACTCATCTTGGGCAGATGTTAAATGCATCCGGCTGTTGTCTTGTAAAAGGCCTCCTAGGCAAAAACTTAAGGGGTAAACAGATTCTATCTGTTGACCAGCCTCGCACCCCTTCTTCATCTATTAGGCTGGCGCAGATGTATTTTTAATACATTGTTTCCAGTTTAGGATGTTGAACGCTGGATCTACTTGACTCGATTCATGGGTTTTGCTTGTGTCTCTGTTTTTATGACTACGCAACTCATTCTATTATCTCCAAATGAGGATACAGCTCTAAAACTCAGTTTTATGGTTCTGAGGCCGGCTAGTAGTCAGGTTTCCCGAACTCTGTGGTAGCTCTCAGAGAGGCTGATTCCACCAACAGCTGAAAAATATCAGAGTACTAACAGTGCCATGTTGCGCATGGATGGTGTTCCTGTTTGTACTTTTGGTGTGCATTGCCAAGGCCACATTGGAGCCCTTTGTTACAGCTTAGGGTTTATTAGTGGAAATGAGGCAATTGCTTGGGCTATAAGACAATGTACTGAGTACTATCTATGTTTTGAGTCAAGTTCTTTAACAAATTTAAAAATGAATAAAGTCACAAAAACTATAAAACACAAAAAACCACAGTCATCACCAAGTTCGCTAAACCTATCATTCACCAATATTCGTGGTCTTTAAAGTAACTTTTCTTCTGTTTAGTCTTATCTCTTGCAAAGTTCACCAGACCTACTTGCTCATTGTGAGACTAATTTGAGTTCAGCTGTCTCATCTTGTGATCTTAGTGTTGATGGTTATCTTCCTTTAATTCGTAAAGACTCCAATAGTCACATGCTTGGCCTAGGCATTTACATTCGTAAGAATTCACCCATTTGTCGGAAAACTAGGTTTGAATCCACAGACTACTCTTTAATGTGCTTTCGTTTAGCACCACTTCACTCTATCACCTTTCTCTTTGTTCTATATCACGTTCCCTCATCTCAAGACTGCACTCTTCTTGATGTTATTTCTGATTATATTGACCAAGCCCTCATTCTTTATCCATCAGCCAATATTGTTGTTGTCGGTGACTTTAATGTTCATCACACTGAACGGCTTGGCTCTAGTGTCAGTGACTCTGCAGGCATTAAGGCCCACAACTTTTTTCTTTTTCAATCCCTAACTCAATAAGTCAACTTTCCAACTCGCTTTCCAGACAACCCGAATCATTTACCTTCTCTACTCAACTTATGTCTTGTTACTGATCCTAGTCAGTGCTCAGTTTCTTCACACTCACCTATAGGTGCTTCTGATCATGGTTAGGTCTCTCTCAAACTATTATCTTATTCTTCTTTACCATCAGAACTCCCCTATCATTGTACATCTTACAACTACCTTAAAGCTGACTGGGACTCTTTCCGTGATTTTCTTCGTGATGGACCCTGTAGAAATCTTTCGTCTCCCTGTTGACAAATGTGCTTCTTACATAACTTTGTGGATTCAGGCTGGCATGGAATCCTTTATTCCCTCTCGACAATTCCAGGTCAAGCCTCACTCTTCTCCATGGTTTTCCTAACATTGTGCTGCTGCAATAGCCAATCGAAACCATTACTTCCATATCTATTAGCAAAACAATTCTCCAGAAAACAGACGTCTGTTTATTACTGCTAGGAACCATTGTAAAAAGGTTTTGTCTAATGCCAAAGCCCACTATTCTCAGACCATGAAATCTCGTATTTCATCACAAAAATTAGGCTCTCGTGACTTCTGGAGAATCTTTAATAGTATCAATAATAAGGGAAAGTCTGTAATTCCATCTCTTTTGTATGATTCAGACTTTGTCACCTCACCTAAAGACAAAGCTGAACTGTTTGCCAAGAACTTTTCATCAATATCATCTCTTGATGCCACTAGTTGTGTTCTACCTAATATAGCCGTCAAACAGGTTGATCCAGCCTGCTGGAAAGCAGCTTCCCCAAAGTTCAATCCTTGGGGAAGCGTCAAAGTTCAATCAAATTTCGTCAAAGCTCGATCCTTGGCCCTATACTCTTTTTATTTTTTTTTTATTTTTTTTTAATTATTCACCTTCCCAAGGCCCGAGGGGGCCACTTACTCATCATTCAATTAAATCTTGTCTAGTTTTTTTCCTTGAACATCAGTTTTTTGGAACTCGCTTCCTTCATCTGGCTTTCCTGATTTATATAATTAGCAATCGTTTAGATTGTTTGTCAATCGTTATCTTGCTCTACAATCTCCATCTTTTCCCTTCCAGTAACTTCCAACACTACTTAGTGGTTGCTTGCAGCCTTGTTGGAAGCAAAGATGTTTAAAAAGAAAAAAATTAGTTACATTTTTTATTTAATTATGATATGCAAAAAACAATTATAAAGCGTATTTATATTATGAACTAAAGAAAGTAAAGTTGTAATGTTTTCTGCCTACAAGTGTGTGCGCATGTTATTTTCAAAAAGATGCAACATTGTGATGTGATGTGAAATTGCACGGAAAGCCATCTTTAAAGTTTAAACAAGTTTGTTGAACAAAAATTTAAACAAACAATATTTTATACAGTTATAACTGTATAAAAAAGCAATAAAACAACATCACAAAGTTTTATTATAACACAAGCGATTGAGAAAACAACTTTGCAGAATTGCTTTACTGTTGTTTTATAGTGTTTTACAATAACAATTTAATACTCTTAAAAAATAAAATATGCTTTATTTTTAAAAATATAATGTGTCAGCGTGAACTAGTTAGTAATACCGTTTTTTATATAACTAAGTAAAGTGGTTTAAATTTTTTAATATTTATGTTTTTAAACTGTAAATTAAACTGTAAATTATAACAATAACTTTTGCTATTTTAAACACTGCCAAACAAGACTATTATGAGATAATATTTAAATGTATGAGAGATATTATGTTAAAAAAATAGCAATTATGAACTAATGTGCAAAAGATACAATTTTATATTAATACAAACCTCTCTTACTGCAAAGCGGCAACAGGTATGATAGGGAAGGGGAAATTTCAAAAAAAATTTTTTTTTTGCAATTAGATTTTTTTGGGTTAAACCAAGCCCCGATAATATACACCTTACTTTACCTTGTGGACTACCTTTACTTAAAAAAAGTTTGAGTTATCAGTGATATAATGAGATTTAATTTTTAAGTCTCTTGCACATACCTCAAAACTTTTTCACAATCAAGACAAACAAACTAACAGTTACCAGTATTTAGTTAAGTGCATAATAAAAAGTAAAAAAAATTTATCCACAAAAAGATTCCCGAAGATAACTGGTTTTTACAACTTAACTCTTTATTTAAATAAAAAAAAAATTCTTTTAAAAAATATTTTTTTATTTTTTTCAAAAACAAAAAACAAAAACAAAAAAAACAACAAGAAAACAAAAAAGCAAAAAAAAAACAAATCCTCCCCAACATAAAAGAAATTAGACAACCAACTCCCCTCCCTTATGCAACCGCAATATAAATATAAGTAACCTCCATCTCCTTCCCAGTAGGCCCCAGTCTGATAGAACCCCTGAGACCTATGGCAACAAAGTAAGCAGCTTACTTAGTCAAGTTGGCACTCATTTAGTTAAACTAGTTGGGTCCCAACTTGATAAAATGTTTCATTAAAAGATTGCTGATATCAAAAAAATCAAAAACCAAAAAAAATTAAATTTTATCAAACAAAACATTAATACTTTATCTTAAACAAGTTAAAAACTTTTTCTGTGTTTTATCCTCATTGTCCCCTAAATCACTGTCTAAAGTCACTGCCTTAAAAACAGACTAAGAAACAAGAAAACATAATAAAATCTAAAAAAAAACAGGGATAAAAACTCAGTAGAAACTCTAAAATAACAAAAACTAATTAGAAAATAATAAAATATTACTGAGATTTTGGAACTGATATCTTCGGAGACATTAGGAAAAACTTGAATCATAGAAAGAATTGTATTGTAGTGCTTCATGGGAGCAATACCCTCAATCTTAATACCAAAATCATATTGAGTAAACAACAAATGATATTTGTGCAGCATATGTGTAGGAATAAAAAGAGGAATGTTTTCAGAAACAATAACTAAACTATCTATAATTCCCTGAGAGCAACTGTTGCTTAAGATATGGATTTGTTCACATAAAATAATACTGTTTGAACTAATAAGCTGTTGAGATGAACAATCACCACGAATTTCAAGTGTTGAACTTTTTCGTTCAATTTTGATATACTGATGTGAATAAACCACTAATCCTTTATCTAGATTGTGAATCTCAGTTCCAATATCTTTGAGCTGAAAATTTGAAATATAGTCTAAGTTAGAATAAGAAATATTTTCCAAAAGGATTTCTGCCTCCAGCTGTGTCAAGTTTGCCTCAATGAACCAAACATTTTCTTTAATAGTTTTTAAATTATAAGCAGAAGATGATAAAAATCTTTCTTTAGGTTGCAGTAAACACTGGGAATGCTAAAAAAAAATAAAAGTTTAAAAAACATTTATAAAAAGCAAATCAAAAATCTTGAAGAATAATATATTAAAACCTAATGCTACCTGGAAATGTGCATATTGCCCTGTTAGCATTACCAAACTACTCATTTCACCATGAAAGAAGTAGCTATACTTATCTGCATTGCCTACCCAACAAGCACCAACAACAAACTTTGGTTGAATATGGTGTCTTGGTAAATGGAAGTCAGTAACATTGCTAGATGGTTTCAAAAGATAACCATCAATAGATAACTAAAGATTATCATTTAAATTTATCAAACAAATAAGCATTTTAGAATCAAATAAGTAAAGAAACATTAAAATAATAACAAAAAATAATAACTCAGCTTACTGCAACAGAACAGTTGTCATATGATAATGAAAAGTAGTGCCAATGTAATATCTCATACTTCCATTTATTTTGCACTACACAATCAAGTCCACTAGAGGATTGATAGATTTGATAAAAACTAAATTCTGCGTATTTCTCATTCAAGTGTCTAAAAATAAAAATAAAATCTATTAATCTCAGTATTGAAAAAAATGAATTATTTTAAAAAAACTCAATACTAAAATTAATATTATTTTTCTATTTATCATAAAAATAAAAAAATCTTACACTAAAGACTTGAATTAATAAAAAGTTACCTGGTTACATAAAAAGTTACTTGGTTACATAAAAAGTTACCTGGTTACATAAAAACCCATGTTATTTAGAGCTGAGTTTTCACCACAAGACCATGATAATATATACTGGCGATCATTATACGGCTCAATATACAACCAAGAAAAAACTGTATACTTTAAATTCCAATCAACAGATAATTGCCTCACAGGAAATCTAACTGCACTCAGTCCATTAAAAATGTAGTTGATATCACCTAATAAATAAGAACTTAAAAAAACTTTTTCAAGACATTCGGAACTCAGAATAAACATAAAAAATATAAAAAGACAGATCAACAATAATAGTTCAGATCAAATACATTTTATAATAATATACAGATTAAGTAGCTTTCTTAATTACAATGCTACCCAAGGAATGACGATTTCAAAAAAAAAAAAAAAAATTAAATATACAGTAGAATCTCTTTAATTAGAATTTTGTAGGAGAAAATAAATGTCCGAAATAAGGAGACATTGAATTAAGGAAAGTTGACTTTTTACTGTGACATTTCACAATGAATTAACATTTAATTGAATTATGGAGATTCGAAGTACAGAGACTTTACTGTATCTATAAATAAATATCTAAAGTGTTTATTCTTAATAAATAATAATTAATCATAAATTTATTATTATTACCAAATTTAAATGTATTAACATATTTATTATACTGTTTATCATAGTGAACTTTTAACACCTTAAGGGGTAAACAGATTCTATCTTTTGACCAGCCTCGCACCCTTTCATCATTTATTAGGCTAACGTAGATGTATTTATAATACATTGTTTCAGTTACAGCTCTAAAACTCAGTATTTAGGTTCTGAGGCCGGCTGGTAGTCAGGTTTCTTAAACTCAAGTAACTTTTCTTCTGTTGAATCTTGACTCTTGTAAAGTTCACTAAACCTACATGCTCCTTGTGAGACTAATTTGAGTTCAGCTGTCCCATCTTGTGATTTTGGCGTTAATGGTTATCTTCCTTTAAGTTGTAAAGACTTCAATAGTCACATGCTTGGCCTTCACATTTTTAAGAATTCACCTATTTGTCAGGAAACTAGGTTTGAATCCACAGACTATTCTTTTATGTGCTTTTGTTTAGCACCACTTCACTCAAAAAAAAAGGCCCTAAACTTTCCCCAAATCCCAAATTTGGTTAACCTCACATTTGTTTGACGCTGTTGTAAACAGTTTAGAATAGCCCCTGATAGCCGACAAACAGGTTGATCCATTGCTTGACATTCTTATTACTCCAGCTTCTGTATCTAAAGTGATTTCTTGCTTAGACTCTTCTACAGCTTGTGGTCTGGGCAACATAACTGTTATAGTCTTGCAGAAGAGTTCTCCGCAGCTGTTGTCTATACTTTCAAAACTATTTAACAAGTACTTATCAGAGTCTTGTTTTCTAGCATGCTGGAAAGTGGCATGTGTTATACCTATTTTAAAAAATTCTAGAGAGCTATATGCCTTGTCTAACTACCATCCTATTAGTCTTTTTCCTATCATAAGTAAGATTTTTGAAAATTTAATTAACAAACACTTAATCTCTAATCTTGAATCTAATAACTTATTTTCTGATTATCAATATGGATTTCGATCTCCTCATTCTATAGCTGATTTGCTAACAGTAATAACTAATAGTTTTTATATAGCATTAGATAGATGTGGAGAGTTTAAGGCTATAGCTCTTGACATTTCTAAAGCTTTGGCATGCTTCATAAGCTTTCTTCTTACATTGTATCAAGTAATACCTTATACTGCATGGGGCTCATAGTGGCTGGTGATTTTTTAAGCTGCAATAATTTAGATCTTCTTATATTTATGAATGGTAATGTACTTGATGAGTCATCTAGCCTTAATCTTCTAGGATTAACTCTTACATCCAATCTTTCTTGGAAACCATATATCAAATCTAATGCAAAATTAGCATCTGCTAAGGTTGAATCTCTTTATCGTGCTCAACATTCTTACTCTGGATTCTATTCTTTATCTCTATAAATATCAAATCCATCCTCATATGAAATACTGTTGCCATATCTGGGGTGGATCTACCAAAAATGTCCTTTCTTTTTTAGACAAGGTGTAAAAATGCATTATAAATAGTTGGACCTACTCTTGCAGCCAACCTCAGAAATAACATTTTTAAGTAACAAGATGTAATAAGGTAACATGTGGTACTTTATGAAATAAAAATTTATTTTCAGATTCTATTTAATATTTATATGAAAAAATTGTTTATAAATTCGAAAACACAAGGAGCTCAATTATATGCATACAAATTTTAAAACAGTAAGAGTAATCAAATATATTTAAAATACAAAGAAATTAAACCAATTGAATAATGCATAAATGACTAAATGAAATTTTTTTTCTGTCAATGTATAGAAGAAAATAATAGTCTACATTTTACATACTATTTTGATAGTGGGTTTATAAATACTCAACAAGCCTAAAGTTTTGTGTGACCAATTTAGACAAAACTATTATAGTTATGTGCATTGTCAAGGCTGCCTAAAGAGACCTAAGTTACAACAGATTAATTAGCAAGACTGAGACAACTATATAGCTCTTTGCTTGGGATACCATGCTTTATCTACGAATGAGTTAAGTTCTCTTTAAACTTAACCATGCCGGAAGTAACCCAAATATATAAACAGATTTTTTTTCTTATCTACAAATAATGTAGGTAAGGGCTTGTCCATAAAAGTCATGCTATAAGGGGGAAGGGGGATGTTGGTGGTTTTTTAATGACTCATACTAAACTTGCTATTTAAGTGTTACAATTTTGGGACAAGGGGGGAGGGGGAAAGACCATAAATGGTCGAAAATTGTGTTATGTAATTCATGGACGACCCCTAAGAAATAAAACAGTTTTGTTTCGTATCTACATTAATGATCATCCTGACAACATAACATCTAAAGTGGCTCTATTTATTGACAACTCAATTTATACTCCTGTCTTGACAAATAGTTTTCTCTTTTCAATAGCTTAGAACAGGCACCTGATCTCACTTTTGCAACATATTGGGGCTTGCAGGACTTTTGTAACATTGGGGCTTGCAGTGAATTTTAACTCTAACAAAACTCAGTTATTTACGGTATACAACTATCATAATACCAGTCATGGACAGGAAAGGCAAGCAATCGCACTCCAATCTTGACCAAGCATGTAATTGGTTTTTTTGAAAGCTTGATCATGGCTCTTTATATAATTAAAAACGCGCTGAAAAAATCAACAAAGTAGAAAATTTATAAACAGGCTAAATTATAAAAAAAGAGAAAGAAATCTTAACGAAAGAGAAATTAAAAAATAAAAACCAATAGCTCTAAAATACATTCAACTAATATAAATATGAAAAACTAAAACTCCAATGGAAAATTATTTTTAATTATGACTTTTAATTATGTTAAGGTTAAATAACTTGTTGGATTGGTTTGACAAGGTTTTAACTGATGTTTTTTTACACTAGGAGAATAGTAAATAAATCTTTTTTTCTTTTTTGCACTTTTATGATTATTTTCATTTATTTATGTCTTTCTATATATCAATTAAAAAAAGAATACATAAGCAAATAGAAAATAATAATATAAATAACTTTATTTAAATACTTAAAAAAATAAAAGGATTTTTAAATTCTCCTAGTACAAAAAATTTCAGTTACAAACTTTCAAACCAATGCAACAAACTATAAAACTTTGATCTTTTCTAATGTTTTTATAACATTAGGCGAAGTCTTTTAAATAAATAAAAAAAACTTACATCTACTAATCATTTTTTTTTTTTTTTTTTTTTTATTTTATTTGCATTCACTCCCAACAAGGCTGCAAGCAACCACTATTAAGTTGAGAGTTACTAGGAAAAAAAAAGAACAGAGTTATAGAGCAAGGAAACGGTTGACAGAAGACTTCAAAAGTTGAAGGTTGTATGAGTCAGGAAAACATGAAAATGGGAGAGAGTTCTAAAGGATTGAAGTGCGGGGAAAAAAACTAGATGAATAAAAGTTTTTAGAGCATGCTGGGACAGATACAGTAAACGAATGAGATTTAGCTGAATGACGAGTAAAATGAGAATGAATTTTAGTTGATGGAACTAGAGGTGATAACTCCTTTGAGCTGTGACCATGATAGTATCTGTAGAAAAGAGAAAGAGATGCAACTTTACGACGATGGGAAAGAGGTTCAAGCTTAGCAGATAGTCCAGGTCCAACAACATTTACAATGCATTTTTGGACCTTGTCAAGAAGAGAAAGTGAATTGTTAGAAGAACCAGCCCAAATATGACAACAGTATTCCATACAGGGACGAATAAGAGATTTGTAGAGGTAGAGAATGGAATCAGAAGTAAGGAAATGGCGAGCACGATAAAGAGAAGCAACCTTGGCAGAAGCTAATTTAGCAATCGATTGTATATATGGTTTCCATGAAAGGTCAGTAGTAAGCGATAATCCAAGAAGACGTAAAGAGGACGACTCAGTAAGAGGACTGCCATTCATTAATATAGGAATGTTGACCATATTACGGTAGTTGTTTGCAGTAAGCAATTGGGTTTTTTTAGAGTTGAAATTCACAAGCCACTGTGAACCCCAATCTATTACTGAAGTGAGATCAGATTCAAGATCAGCTGCTTGTTCTAGGCGATCGAAAAGAGAAGACTTTTTGTCAAGACAGGAGTATAAAGTTTTTCATCAGCAAAAAGAGCTACTTTAGATGAAAGGTTGTCAGGAAGATCGTTTATGTAGATAAGAAACAAAACAGGGCCCAGGATGGAACCTTGGGGAACCCCAGAAGTTACTGGAAATAAAGAAGAGTGTTGGCCTTCAAGGATGACTTTAATAAACCGGTCAGAAAAAAATGATTTGATAATCTCAAAAACTTTCCCAGAAACACCATATGAAGCAAGCTTATGGAGAAGACCAGCATGCCAAACTTTGTCGAAAGCTTTAGATATGTCGAGAGCAATAGCCCTAGCCTCACCACCTCCATCTAATGCACAATAAAATCTTTCAGTTACAGCAGTTAGCAAGTTGGCCGTAGAGCGAGAGGATCGAAAACAGTATTGATTGTCTGACAGCAGTTTATTTAACTCAAGATGAGATGTGAGGAATTTGTTGATCAAAGACTCAAAGACCTTGCTAATAACAGAAAGAAGACTGATCGAACGATAATTGGAGGGGTCAGAATTTTCTCCAGAGTTTTTGAATATTGGAACCACAGATGCCAACAAGCAGGAAAACAAGACTCAGTCAAACACTTGTTAAATAGTTTAGAGAGAATTGAAGAAACTTTTAGAGAACAATTCTGCAAGACTGTGACAGGAATGTTGTCTGGACCACAAGCTGTAGACGAGTTTAATTGAGATATGACTTTAGCAACAGAAGCCGGAGTGATTTGAATGTCTAACAATGGGTCAACCTGTTTGACTGGAATGGAAGGAAGAGAATGTCCATAAGATTCAAGAGTGGAATTAGAAGAAAAGTTCTTTGCAAACAGTTCTGCCTTATCCCTGGGAGAGGTAACAAGATCAGTCCCATGAATGAGAGATGGAATGTTAGATCTACCCTTGTTAACAATGAGTTGAAGATTTTCCAAAAGTCTTTAGAGCCTAACTTCTGCGATAAGATGCGAGATTTAGTGAACTGAGAATAATGGAGTTTAGCATCAGAAAGCACCTTTTTACATCGATTTCTTGCAATAATAAATAGCCGTTTGTTCTCAAGTGAGTTGTTCTTTTGAAAAAGATGAAAAAAATGGTTACGATTAGATATAGCAGCCGCACAAGAAGGAGAAAACCATGGAGTAGAATGAGGCTTGACTTGAAACCGACGAGAAGGAATAAAAGCTTCCATTCCAGACTGAATCCAGGAGGTTACATAGGAGGCGCATTTGTCAGCTGTGAGAGAAAAAACATCAGCCCAAGGACCATCACGAAGAAAATCACGAAAGGAATCCCAGTCAGCTTTAGGGTAGTAGTAGGTGGTGCAATGATAAGGTGAGCCCAAAAAAGAAGTACGAGAAGAAAGATTTATAAAGATCATTGCGTGGTCAGAACCACCTAAGGGAGAAAAGGGAGAAACTGAACATAAGCTAGGGTCAGAGACAAGACATAAGTCAAAGAGTGAAGGTAAATGATTAGGGTTGTCAGGAAAACGAGTCACAAAGTTAACTATCTGAGTAAGAGATTGAGAAATGCAGAAGTTAAAGGCTTTAGTGCCACTTAATAAAAAACTAACTTAATGTAAATAATGAAAAAGTATTTAAAAAAAAAAATTTTTTTAACGCCTTCGTTGATGTTGTTTATAAAATTAAGAAACAAATTGTTTAAAAATATTAAATTTATCATTAAATAAAAATACTTTTGAAATTAATAAAAGTTATTTAATATTCTATGAAAATTTATTTAATAGCATTTTAAAACTTTATTTTACAAATTTTATTAGAAAGTTCACATAACATAACAAAAAAAATAACTTTGTTATGTTAACTACTATTAAATTAATGGATTCATCAAAATTTTAAAAGTTAAAACAATCATTTTTGTTTTGCTTATATAATTAATTGTACAAGTTGTTTTGAAAACATTTACAATCATCATTAAAAAAAAGAAACTTTTTAACAATATAATATCTTTCAATAATTTAAATAAATGTCATTTATAGAATACAATCTTTATAGCAATTATACGCTTTATTACCTTATTAATTATATACTTTATTTAGAACATTTTTGAAACGCTTTCAAAAATCTTTAAAGATTTTTGAAAGCGTTTGGTTTTGAAATGGTTAAGTTGTTTAAAAAAATAAAAAAATAAATGTGTGGTCAAAAATAAAGTGCAATCACAAGGCTTTCCTGTCCATGACTGTAATACTGTAGACACATCCATATTAATGAATGGCAACCATATCACTTTACGCCTTCTTTAGGTGGATTATTGCTCACCTCTGACCTCTCATGAAAACCATATATACAATCAATAACAATGTTTGCAACTGCTAAGGTTGCCTGTCTTTATTGTGCTCACCATTATCTTACTCCTCATTCCATTCTCTACCTCTACATATTTAGATTTGTTCTTCTAATGATGCTCTTTGTCTTCTAGACAATGCCAAAAAATGCATTGTAAATTATCATAAAATTGCATCTCTTTTTTCTACAAATACTACGGTTGCTTGCAGCCTTATTGGGAGTGAATTGAAATTTTAAAAAATTACAAAACACCAATGTTGACGGAAAAAGAAAAAAAAAAAAGATGAATATTTTTTAAGCATGAAGGAACAGTTACAGCACAAGGTTACAACTTTGCTGTATGATGAGTCACTTTTATAAATCTAGTTTGAATTATATTAATCTTCTTAAAACTAAGGTAAATGTATAAAATTTTTAAGAATCAGTATTAAATACTGATTCTTGAAACTTATATACATTTCCCTTTTTTTTTTTAACATCTTTGCTTTCAACAAGGCTGCAAGCAAGTTCCCTTTGTTACTGCAACAAGGCTGCAAGCAAGCTCCAAGCTTTGTTAGAGCCAACAAGGCTGCACAAAGGCTGTAACAAAGCAAGCTTTGTTACAGCCAACAAGGCTGCAAGCAAGTTCCCTTTGTTACCTTAGTAAATGTATGCGACTTTCATATCATCAAATATCATTATTACTATTTATATTTCCCATGAAATAATTCATGAATCCCGGGGTGTGTAATAATAACAACTATAATAACAATAATAATAATAAATAATTTTTTTCAAGATTTAATTTTTCAAGTTTTTTTGAAGTTAAATAAAGAAAACACAACTAACCTTTGTGTGAAACTTGAGTAAGCATATGAGCTGAGTATGATTTAATAAAATTTGGCAAAATTGGTATAAAATCAGGTAAGTGGCATTCAACATAATTGAAAAAATTATTTTTTCGTCTACGACCATTTTTTTCATTATCATGAATTTTAACTGCAACACGAATTCTTTGTGCGCAACCAGTGCATGGATATAAATTAGTTAGGTCTACATGCTGTAAATTTACATTACTTTCACAACCAACTAATATTACAGTATTACCTTCATGACCTTAAAAATAATGAAAATATATATATATTTCAGTTGAATATAACCAGTGATGTTTTATGCAGAGCTAAAACTGCTTTAAGTTACACCCATTATTTATAACATTATAAGAAACTGCAGACAATAAAAATACTTCACTATTTTTTACACACCAACTTTTTTTAATAATTAAAATAACCAAAAAACTCAAACATCAATGAATCTTAAATAGCCTTGAATTAAATAAGTCATTTGAATTTAACACAAGTATAAATATAAAAATTGCTAAATGCAATATATCTAATTACAAAATATTTAAGATTAATGGTCATAGTAATGAATAATAATTTATATTTGTTTCAAATCTTAAAATTTAAGGCATGTAAATAAACAAAGCTTTTGTCTGAATAATATATTTAGACATAAGAGATTACAGAGTCTTTAACCAATTTTTTTCTCTATTTAATTTAACTTTTATTAAAATATGCAAGTATTTCACATATCTAATATGTGAAACTTATGTAAGTTATAACTAGCTCTTTAAATTATTTTGAAACTTTTTTTCTATTGTTTCTTAAAACATAATGTTCATTAAAAAAGGAATGCCAAAAAAGTATATGGAGTCATATAATTACAGAAATAAATAAAGTTTATAGAAAAGTGCATATAATTTGTAGAAAGTAAAAGAAAGAAAAGTAAAAAAAAAAAAATTTTAAAGCATACTCACTTTTTGATAATGGATCAAGTAAAACTGTTAAAAAACATAAACAAGAACAAATACAAAACAATGTTATTACATTGACTTTTAGTTCTTTTTGATTATAAAGTGACATTTTATGAAACCTCTTCACTGAATGGAATCTTTATTATCTTTGCAAACATATTCAAAAAAAATTCTTTAATATTCATTTAAACAATTTATGTTAAATTATTCATTTTTAGCACTAAGATTAAGGATTAGGACAAAAAGAAATGTAGTTTAAAAAACCGAAAATTTAGGAAATATTTTTAAGTTGTTATTAAAAATTTGATTTTTTTTATAAAAACAAATAACGAAAAAAGTTTTAATGATGTGTAAGATAATATGCATAATAACTTTGTGATAAAATTAAATTTAAGTTATATTGAATATACCAAAAATTTATAATATGAATAAATAATTTATCCAATTCCAGATATAGTTGCTCGGATTATAGTAATAAGGAAAATATAAAAGAAATGGCATGCAAGAATATTGATCCTAAATCAATTAAGGAGGTTTTAAAAGGTTATCATAAATTTTTTATCAGATCACAGCGTAACAACGCTGCAAAATATAACTTCAACAGAGTACAAAAACATGATAACTAGGATTAGTCTACCATGTGTTTACATAAGGATTTAAATGAAAAATGGTGATGATGTAATTTCAAAACTAATTAGATAATTAATTTTTTTTCCCGACACTTCATTCCTCCAGGCCGTCTCATTAAATTGTACGCTTTGAACCACGCATTGTCCGGAGTCGTGGAACCGGAGATTTTCAAAGGAGCCAAAAACAAATGTTATTAAATAAAGCAGGTGCTGAAGTCGCAGTTAATAAAAAAATTGGCACCATCCAGTTTAAATTTTTAATTTTGTTTCGTAATGTTTGATTTATTTGACATGTAAATTCAGATATAAAATATTTAAATTTCAAAAGAATTATACAACTATACTTTATTTTAAAAAAATGCTAGGTATTGGGGAAAGAAAATTAGAAGTAAAGTAATATGTCCGAATTATCATGAATGAAAAGAGGAAGGGGGTGGAGTAATAAAAAAAAAGATTTTTACTTTTTAATATAGATGTTAGGGTTGAATATAGTTCATAAGAAATTTGAAAAAAAAATCATGACATCACGATTTTTTTAAACAATTAATTGTTTTGACAAGTACTCCATTATCTTGCATGTTGCATGTTAAAAATTAGCATAGTTTAGCTAAAACAAAGTAAAATTGCAGAAATTTTTAAAACTTTGATATAAAAATTCGTTACGTGAATAAAAATTAATTATTGATAAACCAAGTTGAAAATATATATATATATATATATATATATATATATATATATATATATATATATATATATATATATATATATATATATATATATATATATATATATATATATATATATATATATATATATATATATATATATATATATATATATATATATATATATATATATATATATATATATATATATATATATATATATATATATATATATATATATATATATATATATATATACAGGCGCGGATCCAGCATTTTTTGATGTTTGAGATAACTAACTTCCAGACATGGAACAAACTCCAAAAATTTATATGTTTATACTTATGTCAAATAAAGATGATTTGCAAAAAATTGCGACGATTGGAATCTGGGAACAAAAAAGCCCCAAAATTTTGGTTACACAAACCCCAAACAAGAGAGCAACAAGTTGATAAAATATTTTTTGTACAATTCTTAAGTAAATTTATACTCATCGATAAATTCTAAATTTCATACAATAATCTCTTAGTGTTCAAAAAACATGACCTTCCAAAATTTGTAACCTCCTCAAATTATTATTTATCAAAAAATGCTGGATCCGCGCCTGATATATATATATATATATATATATATATATATACATATATATATATATATATATATATATATATATATATATATATATATATATATATATATATATATATATATATATATATATATATATATATATATATATATATATATATATATATATATATATATATATATATATATATATATATATAATAACACATAAAAAATTGGGGAAAAAAAAAAAGTACACAGAAAAAAAAAAAATAATTGAAAAAAAAAGAGAGAATAAATATAATAAATTTGAACATTTAAATCATTGAAAAATAAACATCAAAACTGTGGCAGAATAAAAAAAAAAAAAAAAAAACAGAACAGAAAAAATAAACAACAATAATAAAAAATAAAATGAACCATAAATGTGTAAAATAAACAGAAGTTAGTAGTCGGTAAAATGCGAATTGCGAACCGCAAACTGCGAATCGGTTAAAAAGCGAATTTTTTAGCGAAACAAGACATTTTATTTTAATGACCACTACGGTATTTAATATCACTATGATATTTATTATATTGATATAATGATACTATTATATTTATATTAAATATCACTATGATATTTAAAAAAACTTTTGCTTGTCAATTTTTTAATTTAAATTAAATATAGTGTAATTTTATATATTTTATTTAAATTAGATTGTATTTTTTTAAAATTAAATATAATTTATGTTTCTGCTTGAAGTCCATAAAATATATAGTAAAATAAACAATTTAACGGTTAACGAAAAATAAAAGACATTATATCATTAAAAACCTATAGTTCGCATTTTACGCGTTCGCAGTTCGCGGTTCACAGTTCGCGTTTTACCGACTACCACAGAAGTTGGCAAACTGCAGTTTATTTTTAAAACAACAAGTACATGATTGGTTCTATCTACAGACCAAATATTTATTTTAAAATAAATAATTTTAATTTAACTTTAATTTTAATTTAATTTTCAGGAAGACCAAAGAATATTTTGCTTAAAAAGGACACAAAGACCTTTTTAATAAAATAAGAAGGACACAAAAACCTTTAACAAAATAAGAAGGACACAAAGACCTTATAATAAAATAAGAAAGACGCAAAGATCTTATGATAAATTAAGGGCAATTTTAATTTTTCATCGATTTTTAGGTTTATTGAATACTTTATAGATAATAAAAGTTAAAATTTTATTGAGTTAAAATTTTATTATATTAATTTATTGATATATTTATTTAATCTAGTAGAACTTTTACCAAAACATATCTGTATAGCACGAAAATGTCGCAACATTTCAAATGTCAAATGAATTTACCACCAACACTCTCACCAAAACCAATACAACTTCTGCCACCAACACTCTTCATCTAATCATTACAACTCAGCTATAAAAAGTTTCAGAGATTTGTATTCAGCTTTTCCTCATCTGCCTTTAACATAAATTAAAACAATTTTATCATATTTTAAATTTCATTAAAAAAAAAAAAAGGTTAGCACTCTATCTCACTACTGCCAAAAATTCAATCACAAAAAAAGGTGACATATAGAAGTCTATTACTTTATTACCAGGAAAGATAAAAAAAAATCTCTTTAAAAAAAAAAAAAAAAACAGTTAAAATGTGCTTGTAAATGGAAAGTTGTTATTTTGTCAAGAGTACGAACTAACCCGAAATTAGATATATAAAAATCGAAATAGTCAATAAGTAGTCAATCTATATATTAACCTTTAACAAAAAAACAAAAAAAAAAACAATAAGTGGTCAATCTATATTAACCTTTAACTCAAAGAGATCAACTAATTTGTTTAACAAATGTTTTTTAAAATGTTTTGAACCTTGAAGTGAATAAGTAAGATAACTTCCACATTTCATAGTTGAATTTAATTAGAATCACTTATAGTTCATTGAGCTAGATCCAAGTTACATTTGCTACGAAATAACATTAAAAAAAAAACCCTAATTAAAACAAAGCATGTGATAACAATAATATACTTATATTATACTATAATATATCTTTTTCTGATTAAAAAAAAATAATAACAGTTGTTTGGAAATTTTTAACTAAGTTAACGGTTTAAATCAGATCAGCAAACGATGCATCAATGTTCTAAAAAATAGATAAGACATTTTTGCGATTAGATAATTTTGTTATCAAGTATAATATAAATACAAAAAACCCGTTAAAAATAAAACATAGCAATAGTTTTTTTTTGATTCTAAAATTGAAACAAAAGAAAGGTTTCCAAAAGGAAGTCGTGACGTAACCTCCCTCATCGTGATTCAGACCGCTTCTGAAGGTGTACATTTATGACGTTGTATTTCAAGTGTTTTCCTCACTTTTCAGTTGAACTTATTGACCCCTACCTTTAAAGTATTTTTAATGTTCCTTGTAAAATTACCATGACAACTTTTTGAATGTTCCGCTATTGTATTATTTTCCCGTTTTCTTTCGTATGTATTTTTTTGAAGTTGGTAAATACGATATGAGATTTTTCATTTTGTTTCACCGATAAAACATTTTTTGCATGAGTAGGTTTATTTTTTGTGGTAAACGTATGTTGTAAATGTTTTGGTGATTTAAAAACTGGTAAGTAATCTGCTTTTTTAAAATATTTTCTTAACTTTGAGCTAATTCCTGGAATCCACAGTAAAAATACAATATTATTTGATGAAATGGGTAACGGAAAAAAATGTTGCGTTTCATTATTTTGTCTTTTATTGTATAAATTTTCTTTAGTTATTTTTATAACGTTTTCCATGACCTGAGTTTTTATAACCATTTTTTACAAAAATATCAATTAGAAACAACTCTAGTTAAAAATTATTATCATTGTATAAATATAATGTTCTATGAACAAATCTTTTGAAAACCCCAGGAAAAAAAGTTCTATAGAATCTCTATAAACTTTTGAAACATTTGGCCCATAGAAATTCTATAGAGTTCTATAGAATTTCTGTAGAATCTCTGTTAACTTCTATAGAAATTTCTATAGAACTAATGCCTTAGTTTCACAGGGCAATTTTCTCTATAGAGAAAATTGCCCTGTGGACCGAAAATCAATATTTTCGGTCCACAGGGCAATTTTCTCTCGTTATCTCGAACTTTTCAACTTTTTCTTTTCAAAAATGTTTTAATAAAATTTAATTTTTTTTAAATTCCAATTTTCGAAAAAAAAAAAATTTTAATTCGATTTATAAATTCGATTTTTTTTAAGAATCGAATTTCTGAAAAGTTTTCCTTAAATATATTATTTTATTCTTTTTGTCAAACGCAACATGTTGCGTTTGACAAAAAGAATAAAATAATATATTTAAGGAAAACTTTTCAGAAATTCGATTCTTAAAAAAAATCGAATTTATTTTATTTAAATATATTTAAATTTTATTTAAATATATTTAAAAAAAATCGAATTACGAGCGGCATATTGTTAACAATATGCCGCTCGTTAAACGAAAACTCACAAACAAATCTATAATAGAAAAATTCAAGGCATTAAAAGTTTCATTAGAAGAAGTCAACAAGTACCAATTGATGGTACCATACTAAAAGAAAAGGCACTAAAATTTGCAGAAGGATTAGGAGAGTTGGATTTTAAAGCATCTGATTGTTGGTTTCGTAATTGGAAAGAAAGGTCAGTTAAATTTTGTCAAATCTTGTTCAATTTTAATATAAACAAATAACATGTATCTGTTTATATTTAATTTATTTAGTTTTTTAAACGTGTAATTAAAATTCAATTATTCTCTTCCTATTTTTAGTAACGGCATCAGTTTTAAAATAATCTCAGGCAAAAGTGCCGCCGTGACGAATAATACGACTGCTTCGTGGAATGAAACTACACTTCCAACATTGTTTTTGAATTACAAACTTGAAAACATTTTCAATGCCGATGAGTTTGGACTATTTTAGCAGTGCCTACCAAACAAAACATAATATTTATCACGAGAAAAATGTTTTGGTGGAAAAAATAGTAAAGTTAGACTAACAGGCATAGCAGCAGAGAGCGCAACGGGAGAAAAATTACCTATGTTTGTTGTTGGAAAATCTAAAAACCCACGGTGTTTTAAGCATATTAAACAACTTCCTTGCACATATAAAAATCAGCTAAAAAGTTGGATGACCGGAGACCTTTTTACAGAATGGGTAATGAAACTTAACTCATTTTTTCGTGCTCAAGACAAGAAAGAAGCACTCCTGGTGGATAACTGTTCTTCCCACCCACACATTGAAGGGCTAAGCAACATCAACCTAATATTTTTCCCCCTTAACACCACATCTGTTCTTCAGCCCATGGATCAAGGCGTAATACGAAGTCTTAAAGCTCATTATCGTCACGAAATTGTGCGTTTGTGTATCAAAGCTGTCGATAATAACGAACCCATGCCAAAAATTTCTATACTTCAAGCAATGAAAGATCTTGTTTCTTCGTGGAATGCTGTATCGAAGGAAATTGTCATTAACTGCTTTAAAAAAGCTGGTATTAGCAAAAAAAACAAGAGTATTGAAGAAGCTGATGACGATCATCCTTTTAAATTTTTGACAGAAGAACTTAACCGTTTTCGAGAGTTAGATTCTTGTGCCGTCCAAGAAGATCTCTCAGCGGAATCTTACATTGGTTTAGATTGCGATGTAGTAACCACCGGTTCACTTACTACTGATTATATAGCTACTCTTGTACTTGATACTTGCTAATCATTGCTCAGATTTTAGACCCTAATTTTGAAAACAACGATAATGAAGTTGAAGATAGCTTTGACAAAGCTATTGACGTTGAAGCCCCGCCACGCCCATCTGATATTCAATTAGAAATTGCTTTCATCGTCATTTCATTGCTTTCATTGCTTTCAAATCGTTTCAAAACGATTCAAAATGCTTCGCTATAAAGCTCAAAATACGGAAATGAAATACAATCCCTAGCACTAAAACTTGAGGATTTAATGAAGATGGAAAAGATGGATAATTTAAAGCAATATCAGATAGATTTTTTCCGAAAGTTGTAGTTTTTGTTATTAATGATTTTTGTCAGAAAAATAACTTGTTTTAATGAAAGTCGGGCAATTTTATTTATTTTCATATATATATATATATATATATATATATATATATATATATATATATATATATATATACTTTTATATATATGTATATATATATATATATATATATATATATATATATATATATATATATATATATATATATATATATATATATATATATATATATATATATATATGCAGATTTAGATATAGATATATTTATAGATATATAGATATATATATAGATATATATAAATATATATAGATATATATAAATATATATAGATATATATATAGATATATAGATATAGATATATATATAGATATATATAAATATATATATATATATATATATATATATATATATATATATATATATATATATATATATATATATATATATATATATATATATATATATATATATATATAGATATAGATATATAGATATATAGATAGATATATAAATATTTATGAGGCTCTAACTTTTTTTAAATCGCATATAAAGCTATACAAATTACGCTAAATTTTGTTTTAAAATTTTTGTTCAAAATATAAAAAAATAACACAGCTGTAAGCCACACTGGAAATGTTTATTTTTAATTGCTATCCAATATAAATTTTTCTATTGCTAGCAAAGCCAATCCAGAATATCGATCTTGAGAAATCATTGCTAAGCCAACAATATCCTCGGAAACAAATTTCAAAAAGAATTAAAGTTAGATGTTAAAAAAAATAAAATCAAACCCTAATATATTGGCTTTCGCCGATAAAACAAATAATATTTACCAACTCACAACAATAAACTGTGAAAAGTTTTACCCAATAATATTACTAATTCTTATGAAAAAGCACTTAAAATTTTAGAAAATGCGATTAATTTAGAAGTATTTCTAAAAAAATTAAATCTCGAAAACAGAATTGAATCTATTGCCCCAGCCCAAACCTTTGTAACACTTAAAGATCATAAACTATTTCAGAAGACACAAACCTTATAATAAAGAATTGCAGAAAAACCTTACTTTATTTTAATAAGGAAGCTTGGAAAAAGAAAAACAATCATGACTGCTTTGATTTAAAAATGGGCAGTTATGATGGAGCAGAAATTTGTGAATTTGTTGGACTATTTTTTTTAGTTTTATTAAGTAAAATAATGATATCAATGATTTAAGCCTTTATCATGATGATGGTTTAATAGTATTGCGTAAAAAACCAGGTTCACAGCTCGATAAAATTTTAAAAAATATTATAAACATTTTTAGAAACATTGGCTTTCAAATTGAAATAAACATAATTTCTTAATTTTCTTGTTGTTACATTTAACCTCTCAGAAAATTCATTTAAATTTTTCAAAAAACCAAATTATGAACTATTGTATGCTAATATTAACTGAAATTATTCATCCGGAATTCTAAAACAAACCCTAATTTCAACTAATAACAGGTTAGTTATTAGTTGAAATTATTGTAATAAATATCGGTTTTATTGACATTTATTTATTGAGGTAGTATAGCCGTATTTATTTTCTTTCTTCTCATTAATTCGTTAATTAAATCCCATGTTTTTTTCACACCGAATTTGTTTTCACCGAATTTCTTTACTATTTTTTTTTAGGTTTCTTGAAAAGATTTTTGTAAAAGCGTTTATGATTTTTTTATATTTTTTTGCTATCTTCAGTACTGCTTTTTAAAAATTTATTGTAAAGTTTTTGTTTATTTTTTGAACATTTTATAAGAGTTTTATCCATCCAAGGATTCAATATTGTTTTGTTGTTTTTAGTTATTTTCAATTCATACGGGCACGTTAGTTAGAAATGTCAAGAAAATGTTTTAAGAAAATATTAAATGCTTAATTTGTATTATCACAATATTTTCAGTTCAGTTCAGCTTTCACAGTTAGTTAAAGCTGAACTGAACTGAAGTCAGCTTTTTACAGTTTGGCAGTTTAGTCTGCCTCACATAAACTAAATTTAACTCTTTTTTACAATATTTTCATTTGCTTTATACAAAATTTTTAGTCAAATCTTTAGTTCCGTGAAACTGTTTTGGGTTAAATACGACGGCAGCCAACTTTCAAAACTGGCTCAAAATTCGGCATCGGAATCGCTTTTTGTCATACTTTGTATGAAGAGCTATTATCATTTTCATTTGAAAAAAATAGTTTTTCATATATGAAAAGTAGGAATAATATTGTGTATATGATACTATAGTATACTAATAAGTATGGCAAAAAAGTCGTTCCGACCCCGAGAAAAAACTTTTTTTTTAGAAGTGCATAATTGATAAACAAAGACGTCTTAAAGACGCACTTTTTATGTCTTTTCATGACAAGATCAAAGACAAAAAAGACGCACTTTCGATGTCGAAAAAAGATGTCGTTTAGATTTGCATATTCGACAAAAAAAAGGCGTCTTAAAGACGCATTTTTTATGTCTTTTCGTGACAAGATTAAGGTAAAAATAGACGTCTTTTTGATGTCGAAAAAAGATGTCTTTTAGATTTGCATAATCGATTAAAAAAAGACGTCTTAAAGACATCGTAAATAAGAGTTTTAAAGACGTCTTTTCGACGTCTTTTTTCCCACTGGGTATATTTGAAAAAAAAAGATTTTGATTTTCAAATAATTCATTTTCTTCAACATAATAAGTATTAAGTAATCATTTAATTATAACAAGTACTCATTTTCTTTATTGAAATTTAATAAAATATAATTTCGGTCTTGAAGTGATGATTGTGACTAAAGTTTATGTGAAGAAAATATCTAACTGTAACGCGCTGAATTGATTCGTTTGCAAATAAAAAGTTTCAAAATCTTGCTCATTATTAAAACTTGAAATAAGCAAACTCTGAAAGTAATAATAAATTTTAACCTTAACATATTTGAGTCATCTAAATAAATTTGCTTACTTAAAATAATTTTTGATTATTAATTAATTATAAAATTATCAAAGATGTTAATTAAAAAAAAAGAAAAAAAATTTAAAACTTAATTAAAGGATTTTGTTTCAAAGTTATAATAGCATGAGTAGGAATGTTTATAGTGACTGAACTTATGAGATAGTATTGAAAGTTCGGTCAAACTAGCTGATCTCATTTGAAAGTAATTATCTAATGCTAGTTTATATTTTTATTATATTATTTTTACAATATAAATTAACTAATCGCATAATCCAGGAAAAAATAAAAAAAAACAACATTTATTTGTACCTGAGATATGAATGTTCCAAACACTATTTAAATTCTTCTAATTAAATGTTAGCTTTTAAAAGAAATGTAAAATTTTACAAGTATTATACAACTTATAGTTTTTATATAATGAAATAAATCAATAAATAATGTTTGTCTAAGTCTATCTAAGCTATGACTAATTTGATTCGTCTTAAACTTTCAGAAGTTAGTATAAATTAGTTATGTATAGTTCTGTAATTAACTATTAACTTCATTACATTTTCTATTTTTTTCCAATTTTTGGTCTATATCATTTTCCTCGTTTGCACAATGAATCAGCTCGGTTTCTTCATTTTTCATGTCTTCAAACTTTTTATTTGAATTTGATACCTCCACACCTGACGTCACAATCATATCATTTATACAAAATGGTTTTATAGGCGAAGCAAAAAATCCTGCGTAGTCGTATTTTAAAGGAACGATTTTTTTTTCAAAAAGCAAATGGACAATAATTGACGTTGTCAATAAAACAAACGTTGATACAAGCATCGAAAACGTGCGAAATGGAAACTTTTGTATGTTATTTGCATTATCAAAATAAGGATACTTTATAACTGCACTCATACCTAAAAAAAATTTTAAATGGATACTTTATAACTGCACTTGTGCTTTAATAAAAAACTATAAAAAGAATATTAGACAGTAAAATAAAAAACCAAAACACTTTTGTAAAGAGTTTCAAGCAAAAATAGCTGGAACTAGCAAAAATATGGAATCAAAATAATTAATATCAAGAAGTTAGCAGAAAATAAGAAAATTTAAATTTTAAATAGAATTTTATTGCGTTACCAAGCATATCTTCTCCTCCAAGGCATCTTAGTATCATTCCTACAAAAAATGACGCAAGTGCTCCGTATGAATTGGCATAGCGAAAATAAAGAACACAAACTAATTGAGGAAATAAAACAACATATATAAGATCAGAACATAAAATGGACAATCCATATATCGATTTGACTGTTAGTCCAATAACTGTAGCAATGATACCAATTACTAAGATTGACACTCTTATAACCCAAACCATTTCTTTGTCTCGTGCCTACAAAAAAAGTTCTGTTTTTAGAATATGCACAAAAACATAATCGGATGATGACACGCTAACAAAAATTATGAACGAAAACTATTTAAATGTTTATTATCTAAAAGTGTTTTTTAACCTGTGGTCGAAGAAACATTTTATATATGTTATGAGCAAACATAGAGCTTGCAGATAAAACACTAGAATCAACACTAGACATGACAGCAGCTGAAACAGCTCCGAGACCTATAAATGAGATAGCCGGAGGAGTAAGGTACTGCAAAACTAACGGCATTGTTTTTTGGTATTCAAACTCTAGCACATCATTACGTATCGTTGCCACTTCTTTGTAACCAGTTTTTTTCCAATCTTAATATCAAATTATAAACTTTAATGCAAAATGATACAATAAGTAAACAAAAAGAAAAACAAAATATAATAAATCTAAGTTTTAAAAGCTAATTACAAACCAAACTTAAATACAAATATCATCAAATCTATAAATAACTATTTTAATGTTGCAAATTTAATTAAAATATTTTTAAATATTTTCTAATGCTTCAAAATGCTTTATATTAGCTTTTTATTAAGAATTTTAGAAAGTTTTTTTGGCGATATATTTATAGCTGCATTATAAATATTTAATTAAAATTTGTGATGCTTTTTGTACCCACGACTTACCAAGTCATGGGTACAAAGTTAGAAGTTACTTCTTTACAGAGAACTTGGCTGTTCTACTTTTTTTAAATGAATTTTCTTATTGTTGTGTAATAAATGACCAGTTCTATAATAGCTTACTGGTTGTGTAGTAACTTGTTGGTTGTGCAATAACTCACCGGTTGAGGAAGCAACTGCTCCTATTAATATTGATGGTATTGACATTAAAAGACATCCAGCTGCTGCAGCAAAGGATAAATATTGAGCTTGTTTTTCTGATTTACTTGATAAAACACGTTGAAAGTATACTTGCCATGGGATCCCACCACATATCTAGTAATATATTAAATAATTAAAGCGTGACTTAAAAAATTAACTAGTATGCTTAATGATACCATTACAAATTTATTTTATACCAATAAAAGAGCGTAATCAATCCAAATGCCAGCCTCACTCCATACCCAACCTTCAGCCCAATGATCAGTTGTAAGAGATATACTTTTAACAGACTTGTGAGTTAACGCAAATGGGATTGTGATCCACTAAAGTATGACATATTTTTTTATAATTAACATGTAATAATATTTATAATTAACATGATATAATATAACATGTTTCACCAATATAATAAGTTTAGAAAACGTAATGTAAAGAGATAAAATGTAAAGAAACATTACGTTATATATATATATATATATATATATATATATATATATATATATATATATATATATATATATATATATATATATATATATATATATATATTTATATATATATTTTTATATATATATATATATATATATATATATATATATATATATATATATATATATATATATATATATATATATATATATATATATATATATATACATATATATATATATATATATTTAAACAATTTTAAAATGTATTCTACAAAATAGAGTGCTCAATGTTCTTAGAAGAACAGAGCAGTTAAAAAAAATAGCAGAAAATCACTTAAAAAAAGTTTTTTTGATTTGATTTACCAAAAATTTAACAATCTTTTTTTTGATTTTTGATTTAATTTGAATTGATGAAACACAGTGTTAAATGAAAAATTTTCTACTTTTTTAAATTGACTAATTTTTATATAAAATTAACTAATTAATATATACCGGGTGACCGAGCAACAACGTAAGGCAAAAAATATAAAAATTTGAAAATACACAAAAAATTTATTTCAATTCATAACTGACTAGAATTTTGACTAGATTTTTATTTATGACTAAGGTTTAAAATTATTCAATGTGGCCACCATTAGCATCATACACAAGTCGGATACGCCGCTGGAAGGATCTGCATGCATTTTTGACATCTTCTGGAACTTTGGCCCATGCTTTGCCTATAGATTTTTTTAGTGACTCGGTACTTCCATGGGGAATCTTGCAAGCTTCCTTCTCCACAGCTGTCCACATAAAAAGTCTAATGGGTTCAGATCTGGGCTAGATGGGGGCCACTTTAATTTGTCCCAGTACTGACTCATGCTTTCAGTGAGAAAATTTTGTGTCTTTTTTAAAGTATGAGCTGGTGCCCTCTCCTGCTGAAACACATACTGACCATCTGAATAGTTTCTGTTTAACCAGGAAACGACCTTCTCTTGCAGGAGGTGGATATACTCATCACTGTCAATTTTTTGACCTTTTTTCACGAAAACTGGTGGACACTTTTTTCCATTACTTGCTATCACGCCAAGGTCCATCACAGAAGCTGTTTTTTTTGATGAAAATGAATACCTGATATTGTCAGGGACTTCCTTTACTTTTTTGGCAGTACTAAGGTACTTTGTGTTACAACGATTAGTAACTTTATCCACAGTGAATATTTTTTCGTCAGAGAAGATTGTCACACGCCCAGGGTAAGATTTTTGCCAGTTTAACAATTTTTTGCATCGCTCTTTCCTACTTTCTCTCCGTTTATTAGTGATAAGATGCTTAGTCACAACAGCTCTGGATTTAAGGTTAAAATCTTTCATAAATTTTTGCATTGTGGAGTTGGAAAAATTGGCTTCCCTTGCCAACTGGCGGATGGAGCGCAATGGATTTCGCTTGACCTTTTGGCCGACCTTAAAAGCTGAGGTGATCGTTTCACAGGTTTTGGCTTATTAAAACGTCGTTTGATATCTCCTGTTTCATGAAAAAGTTTTCTTACTCAAAAAATTGCTGTTCTGGAGCAGTTTAAAGCCTATCTGATATCTAATGTAGTCTTATCCGATTGCAAAATTTGCAGAATGCTTCGTCTTTTTGATTCATTTTAATTAAATTAAATTAAAAAAATTAAAAAAAAAAGATCCATTTTAATTAAATTTTTTTAACTTTTACGTTTTTTTTATTTCTGTGTTGATATTATTGCGTAGTTTGTAAACAAATAGATCCACGGATATCTACAAGCATGGATAGAGCCTTATATATATATATATATATATATATATATATATTATATATATATATATATATATATATATATATATATATATATATATATATATATATATATATATATATATATATATATATATATATATATATATATATATATATATATATATATATATATATATATATATATATATATATATATATATATATATATATATATATATATAACTGTACCTCAGAAAGCAAAGGTCGGTTGTCCAGTTTTTTGTGAAAATTATGTATGAGACCTTTTTAGTTTTTTCAGTATCTACACATTGGTGTAAAGACTGTTGTCCTACGTCAATGTAAAACAAAGTTAGGTCAATATAAAAGGTCTGGTGTCTAGAAACGACTTTTATAATAAACGACTTTTATAATTTTTTAAAACGACTTTTATAATTATAATTTGTCAAAAATATATTTCATGTGCCTTAAGACAAATGAACTAAAACACGAAAAAAATCCTTGAAAAGTACCGACCGGCTTAATGGTTCTTAAAACTAAAATTTAAGCAACTGAATTGTGTCAAATACCCAACTAGCCGTCTAAATTCGTAAAAAAGACCAACTATAACTTAAAAATCACCTTCTTTGGTGTAGGGGGTGGAACACCCCCTTCCCCTCATCCCATAAAATCGCCACTATTCTTAACTCTAATACATCATTTTTGCCTGCAAATGGGAGAAATTATTTATTCAAACTTTTAAATATCTTTATGAGCGAACCATTTTGATCTCATTATTGCTTGCTGTTGTTTAAAAACAAAGGTCTTCTGTCTTTAATTTATATTTTGTATTTTTTCAAAAGGTCCATAACATCTGTGTATTAATCCTCACCAGAGGATAAAGATAGAGGCGAAGCTTAAAATCTAGGTGTGTTTTATTCACAAAAACTGCCAGACTTTTAACCTTAAACTTTTTCATTTATTTTATTGAAAGTTTTTTAGTTAAAATGATAATTGGCAAAAAAGAACTTTTGCAGGGCAAATTTTTGAACTTTTGCAAAGCAAGTGTCAAAAAACAGAAACCTTTTCATTTTTAAAGTCGTTAGTCGATAAAAAACAGATACGTCACTCTTCTGTAAGTTCTCTTTGGGACGGATGCGTTCCGAATAGATCTTACAGGGTCGAGTTAAAAGAAGATATATAATGCTGAATATATTCTTTAAGATTATATTCTTTGCCCAATTCATACGAGTCATCTTTTCTCTAGTACATTTTTATCACAAGTTATAACGCTAAATATATAGTTTGTTGTTAGTATAATTTATATAATATATTTTTATATTAGAAATTGTATAAACAAAATATTATATCTTATATATAATATATTTGTATTGTCTCTGATAAATTCATTAAAATTCTCTTGGAAAATTAGTAATAGTGATAACAGATATCCATTTTGTGCAAAAACAAAATATTCATTTAAATGAGTTTCATTCTATGAGACATTCTAATCTGATTTTGAATATTTAAACATTTGTAAACTTTACTCTAAATAACAAAGTTAGAAATAAATTTTTGTAAAGGCCACAAAGCAACTCTTAAAAACAAATTTTCAGTTGATTTCAAATGTAATTCTAATTTTTATCGTATGTAATATGAAAACCATTTTAATCAATAATACAGATTTATCTATGTCCTTGAAAAATAATTTATTAAAATTATTTTATTAAAATTATTTTATTTATGTTTGCCTTGCTCTTAAGACTCTTAAAAAAAATTTTTTTTTTTGAGGTTTTTTTTTACAGTAAATGAGTTGTCACGACCATCTAATGATGATCGTTGTCACGACCATCTAATGATGGTTGTTGTCACGACCATCTAATGGTATTTTGTTAATGTGAAATCAGTTTAAAAACTAATCTTGTTAATGTGAAATCAGTTTATAAACTGAAAATTGTAAGCGGCTTTTATCTAATTTTTTTTTTACACATTTTTCTAAATCTATTGTAAACCTGTCAAAAGAGATGGAAAAACATAATATTGTATTTACTGTAAAAATAAATTTAGCAAATTTAGCATAAGATATGCAAAAACAAAAGAGGTCTAAAAGTCGTCATTTGAATTTTGAAAAAATATTCCAAATTAAACAAAAATGATTTTAAAAAAAGCTATATTTTTTCAACTATATAGTACTAGCCTAGAAAGTATAAAATATACATCGAATATAAAGTATACACATAAAATATATTGTATACATCGAATATATAGTATACACATCAAATATATCGTTTATGGATAGAATTTAATGTTTTATATTTTACATTAGTTTTATATTTTAAATTTTTATTGAAAAAATTAAAGTTTTGAGTTGAACCTTTTAAAATTTTTTTTTTAACATTAATATTTTTATTTATTCTCTAGCTTTTTTGTATAACAAATGTTTGCGTCAACATTTTATCATTTCAGAAATTCTAAAAAGATAAAATTGTTTAAATTCTTTGCAAAAAAAAAACGTTTGAATTATTAATTTAACGATGTCTATAAAAATATATTTATAGAAAAAAAAAATTAATGTTATGTCTATGGGAGCCGCCTTTATCACCCGGTAAAGACGAGAGTGGTTAAAAACACAGCGAAACCAGGACAACTTATAACAAACATGTATGTAGTTGTCAGTGTATTAATTTTGATTTTTTTAATCCCCTAGTTTTTCTATAAAACTGGTTTAACCGGAAAAAAAAATTTAATAAAGAAATTCTACTAAATAATCTTTTAGAAGAAGCTAAATTAAATCAGTATTAAAAATAAAAAAAGCAAGAAAATTCTAATATTTAGTTTTATGACTTTGCTTACCATTCCTATAAACATACAAACCAACTGAGCAACGTCTGTGTAAGCAACAGACCACAGACCACCAAAAAAAGTATAAAATATTGCAATACACGCTGAAACGATTACCGAAACGTTTATATCAAGACTCAATACAACACTAATGGTTGCACCCAAACTGTTTAACGTAGCAGCAGACCATAGCAACTCTCCAAGAAATGCAGGAAAATACATCAAACCTCCAATACGTGATCCGTATCTTTCTTGAAACGGGTCAAGCATTGTAACATATCCTCTCTGTCGCATTATTTTTGCAAATAAGAAACCTCCTAAAATAAAGTGTATATTCATCATTTGACGGTTAAATTTTAAGTTCAGCGTTAAATTTTAAATCAATCAACTATTGAATTTTAAATTGTTACAACCAATTGACAATTTGAAATTGACAGCTTAATCACAACTGGTGTTAATAAAACTAGTGAAGTTGGGTGTTTAGAGCAGGGTGTTGTTAAAAGTTTTAATTTAAATGTAAATTGTTTATTTATTTTTAGATTGTTAGGGAATAGATAATAGTTTTAATTGTTTACAAAAAAATAATTTATTTTGCATTCAGGTTTAAATAAAAACAGTTAAAAACATGATTTTGTAAGAAACAACAAAAATGCATAATTATTAGTAATTATTTTTTTTAATTTATTATTTATTATTTATTAATTTTTATTTTTTTATTCTTTACATTAAATAATATTAGTGTATAATTCAGGTAAAATTAGAGATGATTAAAAGAGGAAATCTGTCATTGAACAGCTTCCCTAAAAATAGTACAAGCTTCCCTAAAAATAGTCCACTAAACAAGTTTATAATATATATAAATAAATTTAGTTCAAACTAAAAATGTTACGAAGGACATTACGTCATTACGGATATTAGGGGAGAGTGAGGAGAAGTGGGAAGCGGTGGGAAGTGGAACAGCTTTAAGTTTCTAATTAGGAGTGGTGCCTAATTACTGTTATTTAATGTAAACAGTTAAATTTCTTCCCCTCTATTTAGCAGAAATTGCTTTGTTTCCATGCGTGCGCTAGAGGTCCTAATTTTGAAATGTATCTTAATAAAGTGTTTATATTGGGGTGAAGTGAGACAGAAAAAAGAAATATTTATGCTTCGCTTCTTTCCGTTGCCATTTGATTATTTTTATTGGTGAAAGCTCTTAAACACTTTTATGTCGATTAGGTGATTTTATGATTTTATCAGTTTCTATTTAATAATTTGTGTTAAAATGTTGTTTTAAATTTATTTGTCCCACTTCTACTTACACTTGTTTGATGTAAGTAAATTTAATTTTAACAAATAAATTTAAAACAACATTTTAACACAAATTATTAACTTTACCCCAATGGCACGGTTTCTCTAAAAGCAAAAATTTACATACTTAGTTATATTTGGCTGGAAACCTAAGGAGATTGAATTGGTGCCAAAAAAGAAGGTTTATTCGTGAAAATTTGTTTGGTTCAGTTTATACATCAAATAAAAAAAAAATATTGCAATTACCCTAGAGACAAATTTATTTGTCCGACTTCGCCCCCCACTCTCCCTTATGCATTCCTCCGACTTCGTCCCCACTCTCCCCTATGCATTAAATAGGATCACAATAAAATTTAAATCACACTAATTAAAAAACATTTTCTAAAACTTTATTTTTTTAAATTAATTGCAAAAAGATGATTTAAATAACACACCTATTAACAAACTTAAAGAATATCCCCAAGATGACTGAGCCCAAGCCAATCCTCTTTTGTTTACTACTTCAGATGTTCCGTTAATATATCCTCCTCCGACCCATGTTGCTGTAAATAGTAAAACATAAATTTTGTAATATAAACTTAATATAATATAATAGTTTATAATATATATAATAAAATTGTAACATAAACATAAATTCTGTCAGTAAAAACCCAAAATCTTTCTGTCACAAATATTTAAAGATTTTTTTATTTTATTTTAAATTACAAAATATTTTTTAAAATGAAAAATAACATTATTAACTGACATCAATTGTAATAACTAAAAACAAAACACACATAAATAAAATAGAAACTAGCATGTTTATTATATATTTACCGGTCATTGTGAAGGATCCGATGATAATGCCAATATTCCTTCCAGCAAGAATTACTTCGCTGGTTTCGTTCTTCTCAGGCTGATCTTCGGGGTTACCATTGATTGAAAGTTTTCTTCTGCTTAAATTTCTTTTGCGTGCGGCATAAAGTCCGATAACAAGAATGATTACGTAAAACATTATAATGCCAGAGACACCAACTATGTTAACTGCCATTTTGTCTAAAATAATTTAATGTAAAACAATAAAAAGAAAGCTCAAACTCGTTTATTTTTGTAATTAAAACTTGTTTCTGTAACAATTATTTCACACGCTTTACTAAAAATATTCACACAAAAAAGAAAGTTTAAAAAAACTACAAGTTCCTTTACTTTTACCCAGCAAATATTTGTTCCAAAGTATAGTTTATTAAGAATGTTTTGTTAAAGATGTATACAAAACATTCTTAATAACTCTTAATACAAAACAAAGTTATAAATTGATGTTTATCTTATTTTAAACTGATTTTTATGATAAATCATAAAGAACATTATCGTTTATATATCACAAAACAATTGTTGTAGTATTATTTATCGTTTATTATTTATCGTTTACGCATCGTTAAATTATATATTATTGTTTTGCTATACGCGTTATTTTCGTTTGACAACTTTTATATTTATAAATTAACAAGAGTTAAAAACACCAAATAAATAAAATAGTAATAAAAAAAACAAAAAAACAATTTTCTTAAATGTTACGAATGATAAAATTTAAGATTTAAAGTAATAGACCAAAAACTTCTCGAAAACATCGAAAAAACATTTAATCAAATATTAATTTGCACTTAACTGAATACTTAATTTTCATTTCTGTTTTCTTTAACTTTTTAAATATAGAAATACAAAATTTAAGAAATAAAAAGGAGGTTACCCATAGTTTGAAAGAATCGCGAGACAGTGCAAAAACACGAAAGTTCATTTTAAATATAGTTTGTATTTTAAGTGAAAATTAATATTTACTGAGCTTTTGCTTTTTTTTTGAACCTTATTAATTATAAAAGAATGCCTCCTACTAACACCAAATATTTTAAATAAACTATTTTACGTTTTCTTTTTGTATTTCTTTTAAGTCTTCATAAAAAAAGTCAAAGAAGATATAAAATTAAATATCACCATATAGCTGTCCATGAGTAAACTTAACGGAGAAATAATAGCAAATACGAATATAATAATAAGATACTATTACTATAATTGACGAACTGTTGTTTAAAGATATATATATATATATATATATATATATATATATATATATATATATATATATATATATATATATATATATATATATATATATATATATATATATATATATATATATATCTGTGTGTATGTATGTATGTATGCATGTATGTATGTATGTATGTATGTATGTATGTATGTATGTATGTATGTATGTAATAAGATACTATTACTATAATTGACGAACTGTTGTTTAAATATATATATATATATATATATATATATATATATATATATATATATATATATATATATATATATATATATATATATATATATATATATATATATATATATATATATATATATATATATGTACGTATATATATATATATATATATATATATATATATATATATATATATATATATATATATATATATATATATATATATATATATATATATCTGTGTGTATGTATGTATGTATGTATGTATGTAATAAGATACTATTACTATAATTGACGAACTGTTGTTTAAATATATATATATATATATATATATATATATATATATATATATATATATATATATATATATATATATATATGTATGTATATATATATATATATATATATATATATATATATATATATATATATATATATATATATATATATCTGTGTGTATGCATGTATGTATGTATGTATGTATGTATGTATGTATGTATGTATGTATGTATGTATGTATGTATGTATGTATGTATGTATGTATGTAGGCTCGGATAAAGTTAATTTTTTTATATTCTATTTTTATATGTGGGAACCTGTATGTAAGTATTTAATTACATGTTTATATTTAAGTGTGCGTGAAAGCGAGAGTTATCAGATTAGAAAAGGTCGCATAATCATTTATTAAATGTTCAAAACTATTGTAGGTACTGAATTAATGCAATAACATTTGGAATAAATGGTAACTTAAATTCATTACTTATTTTAAATTTTTTTTATATGGTCTACTATTTTCTTGATTTTTATTCAAACTTTCACTTATGCAACATGATTATACCTTAAATACAAACTAATTAAAAATCAAATCAGTATAAAATTCTAAGAAAAGTTAAAGTTATTAGAAATTCTTCTCCAGATATAATATAGTCACCCAACATTCATATATATATATATTGTTATCAAATATATATTAAAATATAAACATAGTGGAATATCAGTAGACTTACATAAGTATTTTGAGAGGTCCACTGTAGTAGAGTAGTGTAGTAGAGTAGGCCATTTGTGTTTGTCGCCTATTTGTAGCTGAGTAGACTATTAGTTGTTGCCGTCAAAAGTGGTCAGCCGATGACTAGTTATTATATTCTATGTTGGAGAGGCCACTTATAGCGGAGGGCACTTATGGTCTTCAAGGTTAGTGATGAGCAAAATTCCAATAAACCTATTAAAACACTTTTATAGGTCCACTGCAAATCCACTACAAAAAAATTTACTGGGTAATCAACAATTATCAGCAATTAACAAAAATCAGCAGCCGCCTCAGAAACGTAAGATCCGTGGTTCAAACCCCGCCTCTGGGCAAGTTTTGCGACATTAGTTGGGAAGGAGGCGTGAACTTCCTATTAAATGCTTTTACGCGGTGCTCTGTGATAAGACCGTAAGGACCTCTTTGAGCACATAAATCACCTAAAAAAAAATTAAAAAATAAAAATTTACAAACGTTGGTTTAAGCGTTGATTTGGAAACCAAAAAGCGGCGATGAAATATCAACATTGATTGAACATTAAAAAAACAACGTTGAGCTTATATTACGTTTTTAAACGTTTTCGAAAGATAACAATTTTAAAAAATTTACTCAAATAAATCTTTTTTTTAAATATTACAAGTTGGGATTATAGGGTAATTTATTGTTCATTTTCGCAACTATCTTCGTTTTCATTTAACTCAACGTCACCTTCTACTTCACAGGTATCATCTTTTTGATTTTCTTTATCACCTTTTATTAACTTCTTCATCTTCTTTTTCGTGTTTGTAGGATTCCCGTTTACTCCCATTTAAATGATGAGGTGCACACTTCAAGCAGGGGGCAAATTATGTACGAGTTTTTTTTTAGCGCTTTATTGATTCTAGAAAATAAATGCAAAAATATACAAATTTAGTCAAGCAAATAAAACTGTAGAGAAAGCAGGACTTTTATAAAATATGTGGAACTTTCCGAACTAATCTAGCATGTAGACAATTCAATTTGCCATTCTTAGAGTATATACAGTCAAAGAACCATCACGACAACTGTTACTTTTTTATGATTTATATTAGGAGTTACAGAAAATGAAAACAAACTCTTTAATATCCAGACATACCATCATCTACAGCACCTGTCCCACATAATAACAATCTGCATCTAGATGTGAATGTAAAATATGAAACCTTATGGGCATACGACAACCTAGTTTTTTGAATTTTTCAATTAGAAAACTTTCTCCTCATTATTAAAATAACACCAAAACCTTTATTTTTCTAATGAGAAAAATATCTTTATTTTTCCAACTAATTTTCAGAACGTCAGCATTATAAAAAAACCGGTAAAAAAACTGTCTACAAAATGTCTAAAATTACACAACTTTGTCAAAAAACATCTTCCGTTGTATTCATAATTTTTGCATTCAACAGATTTTTTAGTTAATTTAAACATTAAATTTTAAATTTAATGTAGCTTACTAAATTTTTTACCTAAATCAAACGCAATAGGTTTATTTTGACACTTTTAAAATCTTTTGTTGTGATTCTTTAGATGACCTTGGTGCATATAAATTAACGTAGTTTAAAAAAAAATGTTTGAAAGGGAAATAGCATTTTCTTTTCCACATTAAAGTTAAAAGACTCTGATATTAACATTAAAATATCGCAAAGTGACTTTCGGCAGACATTATTAACAGTTTCGTGAAACAAAATGTAAGAAAGTATATTTAACTGACAAACATTGTTTTTTGGTATTTAAAAACCTCCAGAATTAATTTCAGCTGTATAATCGCCGAATTCTTCATAATAAAATTTCGCTTCTTTCTTGCTCTTCAACTTCATTTCGCACAATATATCCAGCTATATATAGTAATCCTACTTTTATAATTATTTGAACACTCTTTCCTAGCTCAGGCAATTTGTAAATATATCAATATCATTACTGCTAAGAAAGTATCCACATTTCTGGCAGTTATGTCCACTTTTTAAAGATAAAAAATCACTTTCTAAAGAAAAAATGTCTATGCCGATATGAAGACTTAGTTTTGCTTGTTGCGTTTTTACTTTTTCAACAACTTGTTGCACATTGATATAATATGTGTCGGAGTTTTTTCTTCATTTTTTCTAGTGGGTCAGTTGTAAATTTTCCCAGTATTACATGCTTAAAAGAATTCTTCAACAAAAATTTTGTAATGGCTACTAAACTACGACTTTTATGAGCTAAGGCTGGACCTGGATCTCTGGTTAACTGATAATGTTTGCTGCCTAGTTTCCTAATCATTTGTTCTGCCATTGTTGCAAGGCTAAGTAAAAATGATAGTCTAACATCTACTGAAGTTGATATGCAGTATCGGACAAAACAAGTGTAACCAAATAATGCTAATTTAGTTTCTTTATATACAAGTGCTGCATTTTTTCAATTTAGAGAAATAACTATGTAACTGTTTAGAGACAACGTTCTTCAAATTATTCATCACAAAGTTCATTATTTGTTCACGAAAATTAATAAATTAATCAAAAGTATTAAAAAAAGTTGATTTCCTTCTGGACAAAACAAGTGCAACTCCAGAAAATGTTGACCAAGCTGTATTTTGCAATCAATATTTTGTGGTGAATCCTTTATTGTCGATCACAGCCTTGCATCTTCGAGGCATAGATTCAATCAGGTGATCAATGAAACTTTGTGGAATCGCTGCCCAGGCTTTTTAAATTTGTTCAAACAGTTGATCCTTATTACGAACACCTTCACGATTAGTTCTGCGGTTGACGATCTCCCACAAGTTCTCGATATGACAATTTTTCACAGGTTGACGATCTCCCACAGGTTCTTCGGATCTCAACCCGTCAGGGTTGAGATCCGGAGAACCTGAGGGAGATCGTCACCTCCAAACCATTACATTGTCTCCACCATGCTTCACGGTCTTATGGAAGTAATGTAAATCGAGGTGTTTTCCAGCCGGTCAATGTACACGGCGAATGACATTGCTCCCAATGATGTTGAACTTCAGTTCATCATTGAAC